CGCTTTGCCCAATGTCACCAATCCAATTCGCTGCAAACCCTTATCACCTGTTTCCCCACTTCTTGCTACCATTTTGTCTACCGCTTTGACTTGCGTCAGTGCCTTCCTTGCTTTCATCCCTGTCCCTCCGTTCTCCTCTCGCCTCTCGCCTCTCGCCTCTCGCCTCTCGCCTCTCGCCTCTCGCCTCTCGGCTCTCGCCTCCCGCTTCTCCCCTTCCATCCTCCCCCTCCGGCATTTTCCCACCTGCCTTTTCCCTCCCACGTGCCCGCTTTTCTTCTCCATCCCACGTTCCTTCCTTTCCGCCGGAGCAGATTTTAGGTCAGGGCAGCCGTACCAGATAGTGAGCGTGCCGCAGGACGACCTCGTTAAGAACGGATCCGTTAACGCGACGGAGCTGATAGTGGGCATATTCAGCGACTCGTACATTGCAGAGGGGCAGGACCTCGGCTTCTCTATCCGTGCCTTCTGCTCCCGTGAGTGCTGACCTGCATCGTGCCTGCTGTTGCTGTGAGCGTTTAGTTAACTCAAGCCAAACAACACCCGCTGCTACCCCTGGGAAAGAGCATCCTTTTGTTCCCATCTGCCATCCCCACCTCCCTTCTCACGCTTCTCTCTCTCACACCACTTTTGAGAATTCTCCGGTTGCTCATGCCATGCCTCCCCTGCTCGTCTGCTCTCTTCTGTGTAGTTTTACCCCTCCCAGAGTTCCCTTTCCATCTCCCCCTCCCAGAGTTCCCTTTCCATCTCCCCCTCCCAGAGTTCCCTTTCCATCTCCCCCTCCCAGAGTTCCCTTTCCATCTCCCCCTCCCAGAGTTCCCTTTCCATCTCCCCCTCCCAGAGTTCCCTTTCCATCTCCCCCTCCCAGAGTTCCCTTTCCATCTCCCCCTCCCAGAGTTCCCTTTCCATCTCCCCCTCCCAGAGTTCCCTTTCCATCTCCCCCTCCCAGAGTTCCCTTTCCATCTCCCCCTCCCAGAGTTCCCTTTCCATCTCCCCCTCCCAGAGTTCCCTTTCCATCTCCCCCTCCCAGAGTTCCCTTTCCATCTCCCCCTCCCAGAGTTCCCTTTCCATCTCCCCCTCCCAGAGTTCCCTTTCCATCCCCCCGCGTTCTTCAATTTGGATCATGCCTCCCATCCCTCTCAACCCCTCCTCTTCCTTGCCCCTCCGTCCGCGTGCAGAGGGCAGGGGGTGTCCGCTCAACTGCAGTGGGCGGGGCGTGTGCGGGGGAGGGGGCGTGTGCCAGTGCCCCAAGGGGTGGGGCGGCACGGCTTGTGCTGATGGTGAGACGCGGGGAAGGGATGGGATAGTGCAGCGGAGATGGCAGGTGTGGGTGGGCGTTGTGAATGCATGCAGGTAGGGAGGAGTGTGTGCGGGGGAGGGGGCGTGTGCCAGTGCCCCAAGGTGTGGGGCAGCACGGCTTGCGCTGATGGTGAGACGTTGGGAAGGGGGGTTGGGAGTGCGGAGGCGGCAGGTGGGGATGGGCGTGACGGTGTGCAGGGAGGGAGGGAGGGAAGATGCGGGGAGGGAGTGGGGGAGGGAAAATGCGTGGAGGGAGGGGCAATTGCATTCGACGGTCTACCATCCCTCCTCCCCGTGTTCACCTTTTCGCTCGCTTCACTGCCGTGGCTGTCCTGCTTGCTCGCACCAGATGCGCGCTTGCATTCCGTCCACCTCTCAATCAACGGTTGTCATTCTCCTGTTCCTGTCAACCGTGTGTGCCCCTCACCCCATCTCACCCCACCTCACTCCATCCCACCCCATTTCACCATCACCCCATTGCACCCCGTCTCACCCCTTTTCATCCCTCAGTCGTGCATGACATCCAGCCGGGTCTGCAAACCCTTGCTCCCGGGCAGTGGGCCTTCTTCCAAATCCAGGTGGGTTTGCTTCTCCATCCTACTCAAGTGCCTCTCCCCCTGCTCCCATCCACGTGTCATGGTCCCCTTCCCTGCCATCAGTATCCCGCTACAACGTATCGACGTCTCGTGTTCTTCCCTCCTTGCATCCCCTCTCCCTCTCCTCTCCCTTCTCCCACTCTCTGCCCTCCCCCTCATCCACTCTCCCCTCTTCCCCCCTCCCCTCCCAGGTGACCCAGCCAAACACCAAGCTGCTTATTCAAATGGAGCGAGCAGCGGGCGATCTGGTGCTATTCGCCAAGCGACAGGAGCAGGGCTTCCTGCCCTTCGGCATGCCCACCGTCTTTGACTTCAACGGCTTTGCTGACATGGACTCCTTCCCCCACCACCCTGCTGTGTCCCATCCCATTGCCATACTCGCTTCCCCTCTCTCTCCCCCGCCTCCTTACTCCCCCCCTCTCTCCCCACATACCAGGTGACCCAGCCGAACACCAAGCTCCTGATTCAGATGGAGAGGGCAGCAGGGGATCTTGTCTTATTCGCCAAGCGCCAGGAGCAGGGCTTTCTGCCCTTCGGCATGCCCACCGTCTTTGACTTCAACGGCTTTGCCGACATGGACTCCTTCCGCCAGCGCCTCGACCGCCACCAAATCGTCTGGAACCGCACTGAATCGGGGATCGTGCTGGTGGCCGTACTGAACAACGACGTGGATTTGAGGGAGACGGGCGGGTTTCGGCTGGAGTATCGGCTAGCAGTGGGGAGGGAGGGCAGGGCGCTGTGCCCATGGGACTGCGGGTGGCCTGCGGGGTTCTGCCAGGCGCTGACGGCGGATGGAGGGGGAGGTGGGGGAGGGGGAGGGGTTGGGGGCGCGGAGACGCAGTGCGTTTGCAATCCGGACTCTGCAGGAAGCTTCTGCCAGGGAGGTGAGTGGCGGGGGCTGTGCTGTGCTGGTGGCCGTGCTGAATAACGATGTGGATTTGAGGGAGACGGGTGGGTTCCGCCTCGATTATCGGCTGGCTGTGGGGCGCGAGGGCAGGGCGCTGTGCCCGTGGGACTGTGGGTGGCCTGCGGGGTTCTGCCAGGCGCTGGCGGTGGATGGAGGGGGAGTTGGGGGAGGGGGAGGGGGAGATGGGGGCGCGGAGACGCAGTGCGTTTGCAACCCGCACTCTGGAGGGAGCTTCTGCCAGGGAGGTGAGTGGCGGGGCGTGGACTGGCATGGAGGGGAGCAGTGAGAGGGTGATGTTTACACCAGCAGAGAGAGTGAGCGGGGCAGTGAAGGGGCGAACGGGGCGCAATCCTTTGTTGATGTCTCTTGTCATGTCACCCTCGAGCTTTCATTCCCTGCAGTGGCACAGGGCTGCAGGCAGCACAGCTGGGCAAGGCAGTGAAGGGCGTGCTGCCTCTGCGCCATCTGTTTCACACGCTGCTGTCCCCTCCCCTCTCCTCCTCTGCCCCCATTTCTATCTCACCGCATCACAGGGCTGCAGACGGCAGAGCTGGGCAAGGCGGTGAAGGGAGTGCTGCCTCCGGCCATTCGTTTTTCATCTCTTTTCAACCTCCCCACTCCCCCCACTCTCCGCACCCCTCCACCCTTTCCATCTCCCGCTCATCACAGGCCTGCAGACAGCAGAGCTGGGCAAGGCAGTGAAGGGCGTGCTGCCTCCGGGGCGATGGACGTACGTGCAGTTCACCTTCGACCCCACCACCAACAAGCAGATCGTCATCAGGTGAGCCTTCAGGTGATTTCAACAGAGACCCCTCTGCGGCACTGGACCTATGTGCAGTTCACCTTTGACCCCATCACCAACAAGCAGATCGTCATCAGGTGAGCCTTCAGGTGATTTCAACTGAGAGGACTATTGTTTTTCTCACGGTGCAAGAAACCATTGACACTCTCCTTTTCTCTCCCCGCTGCCAACCCATGGACCCCTCCTCCTTCTCATACCTCCCACTTGTCCCCGTTCCAGCTTCACCGCGCGTGGCCACTTCCCCCCACAGTAACATTGGCACATGCCATCCCGACTAGAGAACGGCTACCCTTTCATTCAGGGTCCGCGTGACGTGACCAACGACACGCTGCTGCTGTTTCTCTCCTTCCCTTCCCATCATGTGAACCCTCCCACCCACCCTCCGTTTCCCCTCCCTTCCAGCTTCACGCGCAAGGGAGGGCAGGCGAGTCTAGTAGCGAGACAAGGCGCGGTCCCCTCCCTACTGGAGAATGACTACCACTTCACGGTGCGCGTGACGAACGACACGCTGCTGTCCCTTTCCTTTCCTTCCCATCTCTTGGCCCCGACCCACCCTCAGCTTCACCCGCAAAGGAGGGCAGGCCAGTCTAGTAGCAAGACAAGGCGCCGTCCCCTCTCTCCTGGAGAACGACTATCGGTTCACGGTGCGTGTGATGAACGACACGCTGGTGTCGCTGTTTGACGTGGTCAACTCATCTCGTCCCTGGAGGGGCAAGCTGACCAACGCCCAACCGCACGCTGGTGTCCCTTCCTCTCCTGCTGTTCCCATCTCTTGCCCCCCACCCACCCCCAGTTTCACCCGCAAGGGAGGCCAAGCCAGTCTAGTAGCAAGGCAGGGAGCCGTGCCCTCTCTATTAGAGAATGACTACCGGTTCACGGTGCGGGTGACGAACGACACGCTGGTGTCTCTGTTTGACGTGGTCAACTCGTCGCTGGAGGGGCCCTACACCTTCGGCATCTTTAACCTCAACTACTACGTGCACCAGCAGTGCGAGTTTGAACTCGAATTCAAGTACAAAGGTTAGTTGAGTAGAAAGGAGGGTAGACGCACAAAGGAGAGTGGGAGTGGGAAGGGGTGGGGTCACGGGCAAAGGGGAGGGGCCCTACACCTTTGGCATCTTCAACCTCAACTACCACGTGCACCAGAGCTGCGAGTTCGAGCTTGAATTCAAGTACAAAGGTGCGGTGGTGTGCGGTGATGTGTGGTCCCGTGCGGTCGTGTGCGGTCATGTGCGGTCCTGTGCGGTCATTTGTTGTTGTGTGTCTCCCCTGCTTGCATCTTCAACCTCAACTACTAAGTGCACCAGAGCTGCGAGTTCGAGCTCGAGTTCAGGTGCAAAGGTGGGTTCAGGTGCAAAGGTGGGTTCAGGTGCAAAGGTGGGTTCAGGTGCAAAGGTGGGTTCAGGTGCAAAGGTGGGTTCAGGTGCGAAGGTGGGTTCAGGTGCAAAGGTGGGTTCAGGTGCAAAGGTACTATTAAGTGCAAATGTGTGTCCGAATACCCATGCAAGGTGGGTTCTTGCCTGCTCGTACATATTTACACATGCCCTCCCCACTACTCGCCCTGTGCTCTCGCCCCCTCTGCACCCCACAGACTCCCCCAGCTTCTTCGACTCGCCATACATAATCATAATCTACGCGGTTCCCGCCTTCCTGCTGTCTTGCTTCTCGTTCCCTTCCCTTTTCCCCCCTTGTGCCATGCCCTCCCTCGCCTCCACCCCCCATTCCCCCCAACACAGACTCCCCCAGCTTCTTCGACTCGCCATACATAATCATAATCTACGCGGTTCTCGCCTTCCTGCTGCTCGTGCTCATCGTCATCGTGCTAAGATGCGTCAGCCGCCGCCCGCCCCCCGCCGCTGCTGACGTGGAGCTCTCCGCTCTCGGTGACATGGACAGGGTGAGTGCTGACGTGGACAGGGTGAGCGCCGATGTGGACAGGTGCTTGGTTTAGACAGACAGGGTTTGTGACGAGTGGCAGTGCTATCGCTCCCCCACCCGTCCTCCTCTTCCTGTTGTCCATGTATATGCCCATTATTGCTTGCATGTCTCTACTTCCATGTCTACCGCCCCGCTCCCCCCTTCTTTCCCATTCCTGCCCTTGCCGCCCCGCATCAGCACGTGGAGGCGGTGCCAACAGGCGTGGACAGGGCGCTGGTGGAGTCGTTCCCGCTGGTCAAGTTCCGAGACGACCTCTTTGAGTCCTCTGATGACGCGCAGTGAGTGCCGCATTCCCCCGAACAATGCGTGCTCACCAATGTGCTCTAGCATTGCTCGCCTGCACTGCACTGCACTGCACTGCGTCACTTCCTTTCTCCGCATATTACGCCTTCTCTCCCATTGCCTGTCTAACCACACACGTGCATGCCATTTCCACCACTGCTATTCGTCTCCATCATCCCCCTCTCTACCCATCGTCCGGAGCACTCGTACCCTTTTCCTCTCATTGGCCCATACTGCATCCTCCCATCTCCCTCTACCTTCCCTTTTTTCCCCTAGTATCTCCTCATCCCTCATCCCTCATCCCTCATTCCTCTTCTTCTCCCTCTCCCCCCTCCCATCTCCACCCCTTCCCCACTCCAGCTGTGCGGTGTGCCTAGCGGACTACGACGAGCAGGAGAGTCTGAGGAAGCTGCCGGCGTGCACCCACTACTTCTTCATCCTCATTCCTCTCCCTCTCTGCCCTCCGCCTTCTCCCCCCTTCTCCCCTTCCCCTCGCAGCTGTGCGGTGTGCCTGGCGGACTACGACGAGCAGGAGAGTCTGAGGAAGCTGCCGGCATGCAGCCACTACTTCCACGTGTCGTGCATCGGGGAGTGGCTGCGCACGCGCTGCTCCTGCCCCCTCTGCCGCCGCTACGTGCTGCTGCAGCCGCCACAGCCCCAGCAGCCAGAACAGCCACGGCAGGCAGCGCAGCCCTCGGCCTTGCAAGCAGAGCAGGCAGGGCCACTGACGCAGCCCACACAGGCGGAGCAGAACAGCCGGAGGTGTGCGGAGGAGGGTCAGTCGGAGCAGCTGCTGCCAACGCAGTTGGGGCAGAGCAACGAGAGGTCTGAGGAGGAGGAGTCGGAGCATGGAGAGGAGGAGCAAGTGGCAGAGCAAGGGCAAAATGCACATTCACATGGGCTTATAGAGGGCAGTGAGATTATACAGGGTGCTGGGGAGGATTGTGCTGTGCAGCAAAATGGGTGTGGGGGAGTTGTATCTGCCAAGGAGCAACAAGGGGAGGCTCAGGTGGATTTGAAACAGCGGCTACAGGAGAATTATCAGCAACGGCATGAGGAGCAGGTGGATGGTGAAAGGGATGGGCAGTGGCATGAAGAGGAGAGACTGATGAAGCGGGAGGGGGAGGAGGGGATGAAGCAGGAGGCATGTGAAGGGGAGAATGATGTGATTTATAACCCAGAGCCAGCTCTAGAAGGCTTGTTGGAAAGAGATGGAAGGCAGCATGGGGAGCGGCATGGGGAAGTTAATGCAGATCGGGCTGAACATGCGTGCATTAGCAGGATGCCATAAGGCATCACATATAGGTACGATTCCTGTTTATAGTGATGCTGAATGGAATGTGTGAATGTTTGGGAACACAATAGAGCTGAGATACTTCATATATGTCTGTGTGTGGTGCTTTCATATAAATGAGAGTTTTTTGCTCGCGTTACATGTACCGCAGCGGACTGAAATCATTGCCACCCCTGGCGAATGAGATGTGTGGCGAACTTCAGCTCCATTGCATAACGAGTTGCGTTGCGACGGAAAACCAGGACTGCGAAGTGTCCAGCATCAATCCAACGTGGGTTCAAGAAAGTTTCGCTTCACCTCCGCTTCGCCTACAAATTATACGAACGACGTAGAAACAAGTGTCACGGTAACACGCGGCGTTCGCAAATAATACCAGCGCACGTAACGAAGATATCGATAACCTTCCAAAAAGCCGAGCCGCTCCGAACCAGCAACGAATCGCGCGGACCCATCACATTCCCCCGTCGCACATTGCTGAATTCGCATAGCTCTGGTATTCCAAACCAAGCCATGACCTGCCCTTGGTCATTTGCGCCTCGACTTCCCAAACCTGGGGGCGCTTGTTTTGAGAGTTCTAGGCTTGAACATGCACAGTTCCCCAGCAGCAACCACCTCGCCGCAACTGTTTCTGCGATGATAGTGCAACCTAACGCTCATGTCAGCACGCGACTCCGCTCACTGCCGTACATACATATTACATATCCATCCATGCCCTTTTATTTCTTCGACAGTGGTACATCGAGGCATGGATATCCGCCGCAGTCCTGTTCAGATACACGTAGGCTCCGTAGTCCGTACAAAGTATCAGCCTACGTGGCAGGGGCTTGGGGTAGGGGAGGGGAGGGGCCGGGGGGGTTCCTCCTTAGCAGCGTCGACTGAAGCGTGGCGAGGCGAGTCGATCTCCGAACAGTGAGACCGAGCGCAGCAGGCCTACCAAAGCAGAGAGAAATAGAGCACAGTAGGTTAACGTATGGGCGACGATGAGACGGCCACACACGGTTAGGCAGGTAACGAGCCAAGCCAACAGCACCTTCCCTGCGTCACGCGAGTGAGCAGCAACCAACAGTGCCAGGCGAGGCAGCAGCATTTGGTGCCGCTTAGGAGGAACAACGGCTCTAGGTTCGAGTCAAGTTAGAGATTGTTCTCTCTCAACACAGTGCTCGGCACAGTGCTCGTCAGCAGTTTAGCTTCTCTCGGAACGCAACTGCTCTCACTGAGTTGCCTTTTTTCCCGCAGCTGAACGAGTCGACGAACAGCCGACGGCGCTCCGTCCTGATCAGCACGGCTTGACGAAACCGATGCGAGGGTTGTGTCGATCTAGTATAGCCGGCTTCGTGAATAGACTTGTTCCATTAGCAGTCTCGTTCGGTAAAGCTTAGGACAACGAGTTCTTCCCCGTCTCTCCTCTTACTAGCCTCGGGTTCTCGCGACCGCCTGTCGCATGGGGTCGGGCAACACGCCGCAGGCTGCGAGCCTGTAGCTTCCCTCACCCGCGTTCCGCTAGAACCGAGTAATACCGAACTCGAGCCCGGCAGACGACGGCTGATATCCGCGTACTAGAAGTCACATAGCTGGCGGGGTTGGCGGGGGTGGCGGGTTGTGGGGGGGATAGGAGTGAAGAACAGGTGTCGATCAGGCTGAGCACAGGAGGATTTGCGACATGGCATGGAAGATCCAGGTTAGTTCGCACGCGTCGCACGGCGTTTATCGCTTCGCCTCTACTGCTTCGCGACTCTCGGGTTACATATCACCTCGTATGTACTGTGAGGGGTTGTAGCATCTGTATAAAGCACACACGGGCGACACGTGTCTGATCTGAATGTGCTCACCCGTAATTCCTCCCTTTCCATCTCGCCCCCTCCCCCGCCTCGGGTGGCTGTGCGACAGGCGATGGTGCCGCCCGCGGGCCAGTCGTCGCACAAGGTTCACCACGTCGACCCGAAGCAGCGAACGAGGTAATCTTGCGGGTTATGAGGCGCCTCGATCATATCGCGTGCGACCCGTCACGGCCACAATCACTATAGAGCCCCGTGTTTCAGTTACCTGCTTGACGTTTCCATCAGAACTTTACTAGCCCCCAAACAACCACCTCTGCCGTGCACCCTCTTTCCCTTCCCCTTCCCCCCACCTCCATCCCTCGTCTTCGCCAAACTAACACCCCACCAACGTGTGCCTCCCACGTGTGCACCGATCTTCCCGCATCAGCTCTACGAAGCACGCCCCCCGTCGCAGTCGCATGCGATTCCTCTGCGGCGTTCCCTGCATGGACGCTGTCGTCGACGACGACGTGTGCGACAACGCGCGACTGGCAACACCAGACACTACCGCGGCGGTCCTCCGCAAGTCCGCGCAAGCGGAAGGAGCTGCGCAACACGGGGAAGGAATCCTCCCCAGGCTGCCTGTCCCCAGGCTCGGCAGCGGAAGCCCCGCGGGGCGTCGGGGGAGCGGCGGCGTATGCCAAGCCGCGGGCGCTGCTGCGCCTTCCGCCAACGGCACCGCCGGCGGAAGCCACGTGGCAGCTGGTCGCGCAAGCCGCAGCAGGCACGGCAGCGGAAGCGGCGGAGGGAGCGGGAGTAGCGGGGGGCTGGACGAGTGGGTGGGGGAGAGGAGCGAGCGGTGGTTGGGCTCCAACGGCTCTCACGCGGGAAACGCGGCGGAATCGGCGGGAGAATCGACAGACGAGGACGACGCGAGCGACAGCGGGATCATGTTCGCTGGGGCCAAAGCGGAGCTCGCTGAGCGCATTTGGCGGCGGCAAGTGCGGGGAGCAATGAGTAAGGAAGGTGCGGGAAGGGAGGGGGAAGCGGAGGAGGGGACGCGAAGGGACGAGGGCGCAAGAGATGAGGGGCGCGGGAACGATGCGCGCGCAGGGGAGCGGGAGCGTCGGGGGGAGGAGGTGGAGATGATTCGACTGTTGAAGGAGCGGAAAGAGCGGCAGCAGCAGCGCCAGCAGCAGCAACAGCAGCTGCAGCGGCAGAAGCGGCAAGGCCTCTATCCGGAAACGGGTGGCATGGGCACAGAATGCGGCAGCTCGGCGAAACACTATATCGAGGACACGACTCGCCGATTAGCGGAGCACGAGGATAGGGGGGACGAGGATGGGAGGGGAAGGGGGCATGGAGATGGGGGGGATGTGGGAAGCGGGACGAGCGGCGGGCGGAACTATTGGCGGGAAGTGGTGCGCCAAGGCTGCGCTGAGCGCGGGGAACACGGCGGGATGGCGCAAGCGGAGGCGCGGAAACAGATGGCGGAACCCGCGCAGAGGATGGCGGAAGCGCAGGGGAGGGGACAAGCGGGAGTGGAGTCACGGGGGGCGGAGGCGGAGGGTAACACCTGCGACAGTGCGAGGGACAGTGAAGAGAGTGCTTTTAGCGAGGATAGCTGGGAGAGGAGCGGGGAAGAACGCGCGAGGGAAGAACTTGGGGGAGTCGACGCGCGCGGGGAGGGGGAGAGACGGGGTGGCGCAGGAGAAGAAGCGGAAGAAGACGTAGACGCGCTAGAAGATGATTCGTCACCCGTTAAGAAGCTGTGGCAGGGGCTTATGGGTTCAACGGGTGCTGGTGACACCACAGTTGGAAGTACTAGTGGTGCTAATGCTGATTGTACTGTACCTGGTCTTAGCGGCGCTGCTGTGTCTGCCGCTGCTGGCGGCGGCGGTAGCAGCGTCGTGTGCGGTGGGGGACAGGGGGGCATGACGCCTAGGCGACGCGCGAAGATGATTCGACTGCTGGAGGAGGTGAGGGAGGAGGAGGGGGAGGGGGATGAGGCGGAGAGAGAGGAGGGGAAGAGGGAGGATGAGGGGGAGAGGGAGAAGGAAGGGGGGGAGAGGGAGGAGAAGAGGCAGAAAGGGTTGGGGAATGAGATGATGAGTCCTGGTAAAGGGGTGGGTTGGCAGGGGGCGAACATGGAAGAAGTGGGAGAAGGAGGAGGAGAAAGCGGGGAGGAGAGGGAGACTGGGTTTGACGAGAGGGAGATGGGTTTTGAGGAATCGCTTGGTGTGTGGAGAGCGAGAGAGGAGGCATCGTGGCGCGAGAGGGTGGCGGGGTGGGAGGAGCGGAGAGGGGGCGAGGCATGGGCGGAGGAGGATGATGGGGACGAGGGAGAAGGGGATGGAGAGGGGGAGGGGGAAGGGTCAGAGCTTGTGAGAGAGGGACGAGAGGAGCAAGGGGAGTCGGTTGGAAGGGGTGGGGTGGTGGAACAGAGCTTGCAGTGGTTGGGTTCGGTTCTACAAGAGGAGGAGGGAGGAGGGATGGAGAGAAGCAGAGGAGAGAACGACAGAGGGCTGGCAGTACAGTACGAGCTTACAGCACAGCATGACTTAACAGCACAGCAAGAGCATTCACTCACGTCCTCCTATGTGACCTTCGACTCACAGCCATCGCCCACACCATCCGGTTCCGATGCAGCTGACACAGCAACATCGGCTCTAGCACCCGCCCCCTCCCTCTCCCCTCCAACCTCCTCCACTGCTCCCTCCCTCTCCCCCCTGACTTCTTCCACTGCTCCCTCCTCCCCTCCGCTCCTCACTGCTTCCGCCCCTGCCGACCCTGCGCCTCCTCGTGCCGCCGAGCCTCCATTGCCGAGCCTGAACCCGGTGGAACCGAGCCTGGCGGCGGTTCGGCCGAGGCTGACGTCGAGTGTGATTCGGAACGCGCACCGCAAGGTGGTGGCGCAGCGAGTGGCAGCCACGGCTGAGGCCAGAGCTGCTGCTTACGCCGCTGCTCCTGCTCCTCATGCTCCTCATGCTGCTCCTGTTGCTTCTGCTGCTGCTGCTGTTGCCGAGAGTCGAACTGCTGAGAATAGAAGTGCAGGGGCAATGTCTAGTGCACCCGGCGCTGTTGCAGGTGCCACTGTCACAGCCACTGCACCTGCTGCTAGCACCCGTGCCTCTGCCCTCGCTGCCTTGACCGCTGCTCCCACTGCTGCCGCTTTTGCTGGTGCTGGCTCTGATAGTGTTTTTCAGGAAACGCCAGTGGTGCAGTCAGGTGCAGAGGTAGCTGGAGCAGTTGTGTGGGCTGCAACGGAGAGTGACAGAGTGGAAGGTGGTGAGAGAGGGAGAGGTGGAGGGGAGCAGCAGGGGCGGAGAGGCGGTGAGGAGGCAGGGCGGGTAGAAGGTGATGCAGGGGGGAAGGGAAGCAAGGCAGGGAAGGGTGGGAGGAGAGAAGCGAAGAAAGGATGTGGGGTAGTGAAGGAGAAGAGAGGGCGAGGGGTTAAGGGTGGTGGAGAGGCGTGCAGAGGGGAAGAGGAAGGGTATGTTTGGGACAAGGCTGGGGCAAGAGAGACACGGACAGCAGCAGCAACAGCAGCACCGTTGGATTCAGCAGCTGTGCAATCCCCATCGTTGGATGCAGGAGCAGCGGCAGCAGGGGAGCGTGCCGGCTTCTTCCCCCCACCACCACAGCAAGCAGCACCAACAGCCATTGCACCACTAGTGGCACCAGACGCTACAGTCACACAGACGGGTTACCACCTCCCTTCTCGCACGTCCTCTCGCTCTCTCTCCTCCGCCTCCATTCCCCCCCATGCCTCCACAGCCACTGCTGCTGCTGCCGCCGCTGCTGTTGCCCGCTTCCTTGCAGCAGCAGATTCCCAGCTTCAGCAATCCCTCTCTCCCTTCCCTGCACCTCCTGAAACCACTGGTAACCCTGTTACACAGGAGAATGGCTATCCGTGGTACACTCCTCACCACCCCTCTCAACCGTACTTCTACGTACCATCCCCATTCACACCCTATCCCACCACTGCTCCCAACCCCCCTGGATCTTGCTTCCCTCCCCGAGCCATCTCCCTCGGTGCCATCAACACCCCCCTGCACGCTCCGAACCTCTTTTTCCCAGGCTCGGACCCGAACCACGCGAACGCAGCAGCAGCTCCTGCTGCTATAGCTGCAGGCTCGGCACCGAGCCAAGATGCACCTGGTTTGGGCTCAGACGGCGCCCAGGGTTCAGCCCAGGGGAGTTCTCTGCCCCATCCACCAGAAAATGCTGCTTCCCCCCACCAGTTCCCTACACCTGCTGCTGCTGCTGCTGCTGCCTTTCCTCCTCGAATTCGCTCCCTTACAGCCATTGGTGCAGGCACAGAGAGAGACAGCACCACCGGTGCTGCTACTGCTGCTGCTGCTGCAGCAGCAGGGTCTGGAATGCAGTGGTCTCACTCCCCTGGCCCCTCCCATCTCGCTCACCCCGCCTTCCCTCCGCGAGTGTACTCTCTCGGTGCCCTTGTCTCAGCAACCCAGCATCAGCAGCAGCAGCCGCACCTGCAGCAGCATCAGCAATTCTACCAGCAGCAGCAGCATCAGCAATTCTACCAGCAGCAGCCGTACCAGATGCAGCCTTTCCCCATGCCTTTCCACCATCCGTATGCCTATCTGCAAGGTCATAACTACAGTAATGGCTACAGTGGTAACCAGCAGTCCACGCAAGCGTTGCAGCAGCCAATGATCATCAGCGCCTCCTCTGCTGCTGATGCAGTGGCTGCTGCTGCTGCTTCTGCTGCCGGATCCAGTCACTTGGATCTGCAGCCAAGACAGCAGCTAGCACAGCAGCCACCACAGCAGAAACAGCAAGAGAAGAAAGCCAATCAGCAGCAGCAGCAGCAGCAGCAGCAGCAGCAGCAACACCTTCAGCCTCAGCAGCAGTCAAAGCAGCCGCGGAAGTCATGCCTCAAGAAGGGCTCAAAGCAGAGCACAGCTCCCAAGGCATCGCCACAGGAGGCAGGTGCAGGTGCAACGGCACCAGGCAAGCCAGCAGCAGGACGTGCAGGGACAGCAGCAGCAGGAGCCAAGAACCCAGCAGCAGCACGAGGAGGTACCACAGGCAGCAGTGAGCAGGGGGCGGCAGGACAGCGGCAGTACCTGGTCCTGGAGCTGCCTCCGCCAGACTCTACCGACCCTGCCACTCATGCTCCCGCTGCTGCTACTGCTGCTGCAGCCGCCACGGATAGTGCTTATGCTGCCCATTCCGATGCGGTGACTCTGGGGTTTGGCAGTGGAAGCAGCAGCAACGGAGAGGCCACCAGCACCCCCAGCTCTAATGCACTGCCGCCTGGTCACAACCTCTTCCCCTTCCCTCCCTTCCATCCCTCCTCCTACCCCCCCTCTCCCTACCAGCCTTTCATGGACCCATACACAGGGCTTCCCTGGGGGATGGCTCCACCAATGAGGGGGAGCCACGTGGCAGCTCCTGGTTTCAGTGACCACCAGCCATGGATGATGCATCCCCAGGAGAAGCAAGTCCCTTTGTCCGCTGCACAGAGCGGTTGGGGTGCTGACGGTTGGACTGGTGGTAGCACTGAAGGATGGAGTCAGGGTGAGGGTTTGAAAGCAGGTGGTGCTGGGGCGGAGGGATTTGAGGTGCATACAAGGGTGGAGGGATTTGAGGTGCATACAGGGGTGGAGGGATTTGAGGTGCATGCAGGGGTGGAGGGATTTGAGGTGCATGACTCAGTGACGTTGCTTCCAGATGAGAACAGCAGTGGTGAGAGCTGTCGGGTCGAGGGTGGTAATGGTGCTGCCAGCGGTGGTGGCAGCAGCAGTAGGCGGGTGAATAATGGGAATGACGTTCATCCAAATGTGGTGATCAGGCAGCGGAGCACCACCCCTCCACGTCAGCACCTTGTGCACAAAAATAGTCATAAGTGAGGAGAGCTGTATAGAGACCCCGTTTGTTCCCCTAACTTGTTGCAACTGAACATGCACTCTGGTTTCATTATTCGTACATGAGTGGAGTCAAATGGTTGCAAATAGACTGCACACTGATGTATTTTTTCGTACATGAGTGGAGTTACTGGTAAATGGGTGGAAGGAGAACGTGCTCTCTGATCTCATTCTTCGTATGAGAGACGCGGGTGCAAAGAGATGGGGCACTCTGATGAAATTCGTAAATTTAATCAATTCGAGTATACAAGCTATCAACATGTTGAAGTACATATTTGTACAAGCTATCTATTCGATTTTCTGAGTATCCGTTTTGTCTGGTCAGTATGCGTACTTAGATTCTACACTGTATTGTACTCGCTGTTGGATCGCCTTATACCACGTATGTACACACGCCCTTCCCAAAGCGCAGGTGTGACAAACGCGAATGTTCTAAAACGCATCCAAATAGCAGGTTGGGTCAAGTGACCAAACCAATGTAGGCTCGTTTCCTCCACAAGCTAACCTCCATGGGGGGACGTGACGACTCCAGGTCAGCGCGTTTCGAATATGACGCTAGTCATTTCTGGTTCGGTTTGCGCGACTCGCGGTTTCAGAATTATCCGTACGAATCTTGCGCTTCGGCTTTCCATACCTCTCAAATTTGCGCCCCTCGCCTACACCCGCCCCTCCTACAGCCCTCACATCTTGCCAAGTGCCATGCCCGCCCAGTCCAGGTGCCTCCGCTCCAACCTAACCCAAATCCGTCCATCTTACAGGATCACTCCCTCGTCCAAGCAACTGTCTGCTTCGCGCCTTTTCTCCTTCCCACCCCTTATCCTGCGTTCTGCTTTCGAAACAACGCCCAGATATGATCAAGCACCACCATACGATCAGCCTCCAGTAGCAATTATGAAGTAAATTAGTCGAACTCCTTCGTCACCGAGAACAGTTCACGCGTCTTGATGTTGCCTTCACGATCACATTCCACCTCGTCGATTCACCCCAGCAGAGACATGACAGGAAGCGCTCAGGGCGCGCTTTCGCGCCTTCAGCAGCAGCAGCAACAAGAAGAGGTAGGGCAGATATACCCAACCAGGCGGCATCAACACCAGCAACGGCAGCTGCAACCTCAGCAGCAGTACGGACAGGTGCATCCCGAAGAGAGGGAAGTGCCGCAAAAGCAGGATCGCGCGGTACCTGCTCGGAAAGAGGTGGCGAAATTGCGGGTGCGCGGTTCGAGCCGGCAACGGGAATGGAAGGCAAAGAACCTGATGCGCCCGAGTCAACGAAGTCAACGGCGTTCGCCCGCGCGATACGAGGGAGGCAGTGACCAGCCAGACTGCTTCTTCTCCTCGTGTTGCTGCTTGATGTTTGTTCGCCGTAATCGACGACCCCGATCGTCTTGCGGCAGCGCCTCGATCCATTCCGGCCCGATCTCTTCTACGCGGCGGAGCCAGGAGCTTGCGCACGAAGCATTCGCGGACGATGGCGCTGAACTGGCGCTATCCGGGCATGGGGGAACGGGAACGGTGGCCGCGCGCAATGTTTCCGCTGTCGAGCTTCTCCGCGCTGGGTCGCGCAATGAAGGGGCGCGAGGGAGAGGGTGGGTTGCGGGGGAGAGCGACGACGACGACGTCTATGACGATGACGCTAACGATGACGGTGTCGGCAATGACGGCGATTATGACGGAGAGGAGGACGAGCAACCTGGGGAAATCGAAAGGGAGCAAGGGTCGGTTGAAAGTGCTGAAAACCCTGGACAAGCGGACGCCTGCGTTACCCAAGAGTTCGTCGTCTCGTCAGCTGCCACAATTTTTCGCAACAATGCAACCAGCGCGCCCGCGGAAAACCCGGCTGACGTGTCTGAAGCCGTTGACAACCGTTTCCCCTCCGCGCCTCGCCTCCCGCGCGGCGTTTCCAAGGAGACTCTCGTGTCGCTTATCCGCACGGCGGAGGAAGTCGGTGCGCTGCGCGCGACGGAATCGAAGGACGCCGCAGCGCTGCTGCTCGCAGCCTTGGAAGACATCTCCGTGCCGTCCGTCCACCGAGCCAGCAGCCTCGGCAAGATCTCCTGCAGCTCCGGCTCCGGTGCTGCCGCCGCCGCTGCGGCATCTGCAGCAGCGGCCGCTGCGGCGGCCGCCGCCGCCGCCACCGCTGTAACGGGGCGTTCGAGAAGACCGATTTTGGGAAGTGGCAAGGTGGCGTGCTTTCCCGGCGCCGGCAGCTGCGTGGTTCCTCGATCTCTCTCCGCCGACCTCCTCACCACTCGTTCCCTCGACCTAAGTCACTCACTGGAGCTCCGTCAGTTTATGGAAGAACAGCGTGCTATCGTGGGGGAAGGGCTGTTGATTCTCGACCGTTCGATGGAGATGCAGCACATGGCGGAAATGGACCCGATTTCCATGGAGCAGGAGTATTCCCCGAAGCACGGCGGCTTTGACGGGTCGATTGAGTTCGCCGGGTCAACGGCGGTCAACGGCCGGTCAGTGGAGTTCAACCGGACTTTTGAAATCAAACGGTCCTCCCAGCCGCCCGTTCTTGCCGAGCCTAAACCCTCGTGCCGAGGCAGCAGCTCAGCTCCGACCCGCCCAGCAGTACCCCGGCAAGAGCCTCTGTCGCCTCTCATGCTTCCAAGCCATCGGCATGAATCGTTTGCCCCCCCTCGTCTCTCTCTTGCGCGTGATTTGCCCGAGGAAAGTGAGGAGGGCGAGGAAACGGAGGATATTAGTGTAAGCAGGAGCAACAGCAGCAGCAACACCAGCACTGGCGGAGGCAGCTGCGAAGGGAGTGGCGCAAGGTGCAGAGCGGTAGCCGGACCAGAGGGCGGGACGCAAAGGGATGTGGCGCGGTTTGGTTCCGATTCTGGTAGAGGAGAGGAGAGTCAAAGCGAAGAGGTAGCAGAACTGCAACAATTCGTCCGCAGCAGCAGGAGTGTCAACGCTGCCAGAGGTCACGAGCCGAGAGCTATTAACGGGGACAACACCAACCTGTCCCATAACATGCGTAACATGAACAGTCCTAACAATTTTAACAATCTTAACCGATCTGCTCCTTTGGACTTCCCAAGTCTCCCCTCCATGCCTGCCTGGCCAGCTCCGGCCAAGCCTCGAATGGCCTCGTCTGTCATAGTCAACGCTCGCCGCCGAACCTTTAGTCGCCCACACTCTCCTGCTCGAGCCTACAGCCCCCGACCTCTTTCCCCCATAGCCTCATCCACTCCGACAGGTTCGGGCTTGGGAGGTGCCTCAGGGTGGGCTGCAAGGAGGGGAGCGGACGCTGGCAGCAGTGCAGATAGAGGTGGGGAAGGGAGTGGCGTTGCAGCGATCGACGAATCAAATGGCGAGGTCCGACGCTCTTATGCAAGCTTGGAAAGAAGCTGGTCTGGAGATCTGGGCATGAGGGGTGGATTTACCGAAAGTGGGGTTAGCTTGAGAGAGAAGGCGTGGGATGGTGAGCAGGTCGGGGAGGAAGAAGATGCTTGGGAGATGAGCCAACAGCACCAAAGCCAGCAGATCCAGCAGGGACCACAAGACGTTGATGAGGATTTGTATTACTACCATTTGTGGCAGCAGCAGCATAAGCAGTTTCAGAAACTGTATGAGCAGGAGGAAGATGGTGGGTTCCAGCAGCAGGAGCAGCAGGTGCAGTACCAGCAACGCCTGCAACAGGAAGCAAGGGCTAGAGATGGTGTCAAACGGCATTGGAGGCCTTGATCCAATGCTGTAGGATGCGAATAGCGTAGGAATTGGAGTCTTGTGATGGATTTGTTAAACTAATCCCATTTTCTAGTATTTGTACATTGCACGCTGATATGTTGAAGTGTTTTTTCTCCTGTAAAGAATGCTGAAGGTTGTGGTGCCTATCTTCTGAAATATGGACTGATACACCCTCTTTCTCGCCATTGTGGATTCGGTTATAATGAAGTCAAGATGGGGAAAGCACGGTTAACGGTGGTTAAATTACGTTTCGGTATGGTTCAACTAGGCAAATAGAAGATAACAAGGTTTTCCACCTGTTCGGCACAGTTCAGTGTAGCGAGAAACAGGGTGTATCAGGAGCGTTGTAACGTGTAGCTCGACATGGGGCAAAGGAGGGGGGTTGGAAGTGAGAGGCTTTAGGCGGGAAAAGCCTCTGAGATTTGTACAGTTCGATACACCCTCATTCTCGATAGACTGGCATATGTTATACTGACCCAGACGCATAGTGTAGCCGCACCGGACCAAAGAAGGTCTTATCACATGCGTTACAGTGACAGTTTGACCCAGGGCGTTTAGTCAAGGTTTTCTACGTTCTACAATGGTACTGTTGTTTTCAAAGCGGTCGGGACGGTTATTCAACGTTAAGGTTTTTTTACGGCCCAAGGCGTGTTTCAAACCCTCGTGCGACTTTGCCCGCAAGTGACTTATCTCACCAGCCCGCTACGTCCAAACACTGTAGCCAGTGCTTCCGCCGGTGAGAGAGGTGAGAAAGAGGGTGTAATTGCAGTTCGATTGCAGTCCAGTCCAGTGATGGCGATGAATTTACCAGTTCATCTCAGCCGTCGAACGAGTCTTTTTATTTCAATCATGAACAGACATGCCAGCTGTCACTTCGCCAATGGCTTCAAGTCTCACCCCTCATTAATGATACAGTCTCCACAACCAGGTGTCCAAGATGGATGAAGCAAGGTGTCAGAAAGCAAAATGCAGGAAAACGGTAGCAAAGAGGAAATATTCTCATTGCCATTTTCTTCCATCGAAATGAGTACAGTGCCGTATCATCGCGCCCATTCAGCACAAGATGGAAAGTCTCCCTTGTCAGCTGTCCTTTTTTCCCTCGTGACCAAGGTGCTCTGCGACTCTGTGGTGAAAATCCCCACCACCAACTCTCAAGCACAAACTCATCCGACAAATCGCGCTTCAAAACTTGAATTTCCCTCGTCCCCCCAGCCAGTGCAAATTCCCTTTTTCTCCCATGATGGGCCAACATCATAGACATGCAAATTAGTATGATAACCCTATCCAATGGTATGCAAAACCGTCTTACCTCAGTTTTGGAGTTGGTGACATGCTGCCCTAATAACGCGTTTGTTTTTAATTCAAACACTGATCCCTACCGCGCTTGCCTTCGCACTAAGACGTGATTTCTTCGGGCCAAGAAAAAAATAAAACCCAATCGGAACGGGATGCGTCAGGGAGGCATCAACCCTAAAAGCAATGTCCTTTCCTATGTTTAGGGTTGATTCCTCCCGGAAATGCGTCCAGGAACCTGAGGGTTTTATTGTTTTTCAGCCCTTCCCTAACACTTCTAAGTAGCAATATATTGGGTGCAATATATTGTTACAAAATGGACCCCGTATAATTTCATTCCAATGGATTTTTCGTAAATGTATCGTGCACATTTAGCGGAAAATAGTAGCCCGGAGGAATATTTGTTAGGCGCCGAACGGGGCGCGGTAAGAACCACGAAAATAAGAAAGCGAAAACGCAACCGATTACATCTCATATTTCTTCCTTTTTTGTGCTGTGTCAGCTGTTACACAGAGTTTTGAGTGGCGCTACCAGACAAACTTGCGCAGCAGAACTAGGGTATCGACGGTTTTGCATACCATTGATAGGGTTACCAGACTAATTTGCATGTCTATGATGTTGGCCCCTCCCATGATCCCATCTTGAGCATCTGTCTGGTCTGGAGCAGCTGGCCCACACACACACCCCACCTCCACGGTACTGTAGGAGTGTTACCCCTCTGGAATACTCTAGCCAGCCAAGCCAGCCTCTGCTTGAAATTGTTCCTCTGCTGCTAGTGGCTAGTGCTGAAGCATTTGCAGAGAGACACTACCCTGAGTATAGCACCCTGCCTGCTGATTACCCAAGCCAACCAAACTCAAACCCCAACCTTACACAGAAAACCGCGTGGATGTTTGATGAGCACCCTGAGTTACGCGCGTAAACTGTGAGGTCCCAAATCCACAGATGTGCCAACCTACAGTAATCTTGGACGAGAGAAGCCTTACGGTATTGGTTGGCTGTGAGGATCTGAGTCAAAGAAACCTGGCAGCTTCTGAGCCAGGTCAAAACATTTATTTTCTACGCATACGTCGTTGACGGAATAACTACTGCGATTAATTCATCCTTCTGTTTAACTGTCCCTCGAAGTCTCGCAGAAGTAGTCATGTTGCGTTTAGTCATGCTTTGACGACCATTTGAGCCTAACTCTAATCACCTCGTGCCGCAAACCGCCATTATCTCTGTAGCGCTTAGCTCTTGTACTCACGCGTACCTCACGCGTGAACTTCGCTAATTCCTCAACAAGAATTTGTGATACAAGTATTACGGAACCTCCCAATCCTGGACTGCCAGTCGACGACGCCACGTGTCATGCAACGACTGGCGTGGAGGCGAGGAGTCCCTTGCAAAATCTGCGGTGGGGTTTTTCCGAACCAGAGCGCATCCAGCGACGATGACTAGTACCGTAGCTGCCAGCAACGACAGAAGAACGGCCACTACCAGCGCCTTGGCGTCGCCGAGGTCGCGCGGCGTGCTTTGCGATAAGCGGGAGGCTGTCGCAGCGAGCAGCAGCACGTGCGAGGGCGTCGCGCCTTGCGACACCAGCACGCCCTGCGACATCGCCAGCACGTGTCTTCACACCGTCCGCCGTAGTAACTGCGCCCTGCACGCTTGCGCGGGTCTCGCGAACGACGCTACCACTAGTAATAACAGCGAGTCGCACCCAGGTGGTGAGGATAGTAGTAGCATTGGTGCTGCGGCCGCGGTGGACGCGCCATGTTCAGTCGCGACTGTTGACGAGTCGCCCGAAGTCGCTGCCGCCCCGACGCCGCCTGCTTCAATGGCGGTGTTAAAGAGCCCCAACGGCCCAACGCATCGCATAGAAGATTCGACGGCCCGGGCAACCCACGACGACCCGACACGGGACGTTGCGAATTGCACAAGTGGTAGTGCAGCGAGTGCAGCGGCTGAGTGTAGCGCTGTTTCTAAGAGACCTAGCAGTCCTCGTAAAGCTATTCTGGATGTGTTGCGCGGGGGCCCACTGCACGGCGAACGGGGAGCTCTAAAACGGGGATGGTCTCGCATCGTTAGCTTCGTGCGGAGAGAAAACCGGCAGGCGCGGGAGCAGAAGGAGTCCGAGTCGAGGAAGAGACAGGAGAAAAGCGTAGCCGCCGTGAGGGGCGGCGGAGAGGCTACTATCACCAGCATTAGAGCCGGCGGGGAGGCTCTAGCGAGCGAGAGTAGCGCCAATTCGCGGTTGACATTCGGCGATTGGGCTTCTGGCGGAGGCGCGGCCAGCAGCAGCCCTGGCGATCCGAAGGCGCGGCTGGCGCAGGCTTCGCGGAAGCCGGCGGAGAGCGGCGCAGGTTGTAACGGGGCGTTGCGGAAGGGCGGGGGGGGCGCGGTATGCGCGGCATTTGTCCCCACGATGATGTGCGTGAATGAAGGGGCGAGGAATGGGGAGCGTGGGACGCGGGACTGGGAGCCAAGTGGGGAGGGGGGCGGAGCGGTTGAATCGAGTACAGGGGGCGGTAATGATGACACAGAGGCTTCGCTCAGCTTCCATGTGCGCCGGGACTGGGGCGGGGATGAACAGGCGGAAGGGGCCGACGAAGGTCAGGCGGAGGTGGTAAGCCACGGGGCGGAAGCGGAGGAGTTGGGCGGGCCAGGGTGGACGCACCTGGCACGAGCTGCACTGGAGCCATGGGAGGTGTGCGAGGGCGTGGGCGCCGTGCGGGCTGTAGACGAGTGCGGCTATAGCGGGGATGGAGTGGGAGGAGAGGCAGGTTGCCGCGATGGTGGGGAGGCCGTGCTGGTGTACATTCCTCACGTCAACCCGTCACCACAGCCGCCGACAGCAGTGCTGGCAGCGGCACTGCAACGCACTGCTTCTCATTGTGGGATTGCAAGCGAGCTTGCAGCAACAGCAGCAGCAACAGCCACAGCTGGAGGAACAGCAACAGCAACAGCAAGAGGGACAGGAACAGCATCAGGAGGCTCAGCAGCAAACGCCACAGCAAGAGCCCCGGGGACTGCACCATCGTCGCCGTCAGCCCTGGTAGCAGCAAGGCGGGCTGTAACTCGAACATACTCGACTGGAAGCTTCCAGTGTCAGGTGTCAGGCTATGTTGCATCGCCTCAGCGGGTGTTCAATCGCCTGCCTGATGACATCTGGCCCAGAATGAATCGCAGTAGCGTGAATTGGAAGAGTGGGAGTGTGGGTGGAATTGATAACAGGAGTGAGGGTGGGGGAGCTTGTGGTTGTTGCAATAGTGAGGATGGATGTGAACATGTTGGGGCAGGGAAGGGGGCAGAGATGCGAGAAGCAGCAGAGGAGGAGGGGTGCAGAGGACAAAAATGTGTGAGTGCCAGTGATAAGGATGACGTCAATGCTGGTGTGGGCGAACAAGGGGATGCGGGTGAGAAGCAGTCAGAACGGATGCCATCAATGCCGTCGCTGACGATACCAACAATGCCAAGTCCGCGCACTGCGGCTTCTGTCATACGCAATGCTCGGCGCATAACAGCTCCTGCTCTGGCTTACGAGCGAAGCTTTCTGACCACGACACACGGCAAGGGTCCAATCTAGCTTGCAGGTAAATGTACATGGAGTACCTTGTGAGAAAAGTTGTCGATCTTGGTAGCTATGTTAGAGAAATAATAAACGGTAGGCGCTTCTTGCAGGAGCCGAGTAGTGTAATAGTGTCTATCTAAAGTGCATATATTAGTATTTTAGTCGCTATTATGTATGCTATAATATTGCGCTAACAGATTTTCCTACTATAAGTATGTTGATCAATTTGTACATTCTTTTCATGCTTAGAATGTGAAATTGGTTGCAGTCTACTGTATTATCAAAGTTCAGCTTCGCTTTCAGTGGCGTTTCTTGCAGGACGGTAGAACATTGCCTTGCCGTGCACACACCTCACATCTCCGGAATGGAGGTCCGACCTCAAACGCAGGCAGACTCTGGTGGGATGACATCTAGGTAGCATAGTAACTATTGCTCAAAGAGGCGACACAATCTAGATGATCCGTAGTTAGGCCGGCTTATCGAATTGTGAAGCCTTGTGTTTCTGACGCACGCCATGGCAGCGCAGTTAGCGCGGCTAGCTAGTCGGAAACGCGTGACTTTGGAAGAGAAGGAGCAGCACCAGTGGGTGGTCGACGAGGCGACGCTTTCGTCAGTCATCGCTAATGGCGAAGATGTCGGACCTATTATTCGCCCGGCATTTGAAATGGGAAAACCCGAAGCGCTTCTTCACCAGGTTAGCGACGCGTCTATAATTAGGTTTTCAACACTGTTTGGTATAGTTACTGTTGGTTGATACCTGAATTTTCTTTCAGGTCGTCTGAGTGGTTCATCGCCATTCTTACGTCGCCTTACTCATGCCTCTTAAATACGCATTCCTTTAAGCGTCCCTCTTCATTTGTTGCTCGACGTCAATGTAAGCCTTAAAGGCAACGCCTTGATGCATTATGAAGACAATCATTACCTTGACGGTCTGGCATTGACACTCTTGGTTTAATTTCAGAACCTTTGATACAAGCCCGAGTGATGATGCCTTACGGAACAAGAGGTTAGGCATTGGGTCATGAGATATGCACATCAGGTGAAATACTTACAGCCTGACTCAATTTAACTTCTAACCCTTTTTCGCCTCGCTTCCTGGCAGCTTCGCACGTTTGTGAAGAAGAAGGAGGTGGAGATCGAGGAGCTCTGCAAGCAGCACTACGAGGAGTTCATCCACGCCGTTGACGAGCTCAGGTGCAATTCACGCCGTTGACTAGCTCAGGTGCAATTTTACGCCGTTGACGAGCTCAGGTGCAACTTACGCCGTTGACGAGCTCAGGTGCAATTCACGCCGTTGACGAGCTCAGGTGCAATTCACGCCGTTGACGAGGTCAGGTGCAACTTACGCCGTTGACGAGTTCAGGTGCAATTCAGGCCGTTGACGAGCTCAGGTGCAATTCACGCCGTTGACTAGCTCAGGTGCAATTCACGCCGTTGACGAGCTCAGGTGCAACTTACGCCGTTGACGAGCTCAGGTGCAATTCACGCCGTTGACGAGCTCAGGTGCAATTCACGCCGTTGACGAGCTCAGGTGCAATTCACGCCGTTGACGAGCTCAGGTGCAGTTCACGCCGTTGACGAGCTCGAGTGCAACTTACGCCGTTGACGAGCTCAGGTGCAATTCACGCCGTTGGTGAGCTTAGGTGCAACCCGACGCCTGAATCTGGGTGTTTCGCGTGGCTCATAGCATAGCCTCTGTGTCAGCGGGGTGCTCGTCTCTCTTCTAACTCGTCTTCCCTCCTCCCCGCTCTCCTTGCACCCTCTCCTCTGTCCGTGCACAGATACGTGCTGGTGGACGCAGACGAGCTGAAGCATGGGCTGGCGATGCAGAACACGGAGATGCAGGAGGTGGGCAGCGGGCTGCTGCACAAGCTGGACGAGCTCATTCAGCACAACGCCATCAAGACCAACCTCGCCTCCGCGCTGCAGCTGCTCAAGAAGTGCAAGACCGTTGTCGACCTCTGTGCCAAGGTAGATCAACGTGGTAATCTAGGCAAACTCTCTCAGGTGAACAAGGCAATAGCCGCAAACAGCCACTACAAGGCGTTTCCATCATCAGGGAAGCCAGAGTAACATAATACAGTCTATGTTCTGTTTCCACCTCCTCTCCTCCTCTCCTCCCCTTGTTCACGATCTCAGGTGAACGAGGCAATAGCAGCGGACAGCTACTACCAGGCGCTGAAGACCCTAGACGCTATTGAGCGCGACCACCTGCGCACCATCCCCTCCTCTGCTCTGCGCGCATGGGTAGAGAGGGGTATTCCGCGGTGCAGAGCGCATATCGAGCGCAAGGTAGGAAGGGAGGGGTGAGATTTGAAGGGATTGCAGGGCTGGGTGGGTGGATGGCCTTGGGTTGGGAGGGCGTGTTTGGATGAAGATGGAATCTCTGTGGGTTGCAACGTGATGTTTCTGTCTTCCCACAGACCCCATCCCCTCCCCCTCCCCATTCTCCCCCATTCTCCCACCTAACCCACAATTTTCCCCTCCAGTCCCTGTCTCTGCCTTGCTAAGTCCCCTCCATACGAACACCTTCTCTCCTCTTTCTATCCCCCCGACCTCCCCTCCTCTCGTCCTCCCTCCCTCCCCACCCCCGTGCTGTCCGCAGGTGAACCAGGAGTTCAACGAGTGGATGGTGCAGATCCGGGAAACGAGTCAAGAGATCGGTCGACAGGCGATAGGGCAGGCGTTCAGTGCAAGGCAGAGAGAAGTGGAGCTCGGGGACAGGCAGAGGCAGGCCGAGGAACAGGTGGGTGGGTGGCTGGGCCTTTGAGGTTGATAGAGCTCTGACTATGAGCTACAGTATTGCATGTCTGACTGTCACATGCTCTATTGGTGCATGATGTGAACCTGCACCTGCTCATGAGGCTCACTAGTTCTTACCTGCACTCTGCACCAAAGCTCGTGGAGTGGATAGGGCAGGGAAGAACCTATTCAGTTGATGCTCCACCCTATTTCCCTTCCCTTCCCTCCCCAACCTTGCTCCTCTTTCCGCCACACCACCAGACGCGGTCAGGAGCGAGGGCAGTGGCGTACATGTTAGAAGTGGAAGATGCCGAAGAGGATGCATCGATGCTCAAGTTCAACCTGACGCCCATCTACCGCGCGCACTACATCAACACGTGTCTGGGCATCCAGGATCAGTTCCGCGACTACTACTATGACAACCGCAAGCTGCAGCTCAACACCGACCTGCAGTTCACGCCAGGGCAGGTGGGCGGGTGTCTGTGTTTGTGTGTGTGTGTGTGTGTGTGTGTGTGTGTGTGTGTGTGTGTGTGTGTGTGTGTGTGTGTGTGTGTGTGTGTGTGTGTGTGTGTGGCGGGAGGGCTGGTGGGTGTATGCTGGTGTGGTTGTGCATGTGCGTTGGACCCTTGCAGTTCCACGACTACTACTATGACAACCGCAAGCTGCAGCTTTACACTGATCTGCAGTTCACGCCAGGGCAGGTGGGTGCATGAGTGGATGTTCGTCTGTGTGTTTGTGTGTATGTGTGTGCGGCTGGGTGGGTGGGTGGGTGGGTGTATTTATGCTGGTGTGGGTGTGCATGTGCGTTCAACAGTTCCGCGACTACTACTATGACAACCGCAGGCTGCAACTCAACACTGATCTGCAGTTCACGCCTGGCCAGGTGGGTGCGTGGGTGGGTGGGTTTATGTGCGCATGTGTGTGTGTGTGTGGCTGGGTGGGTGGGTGGTTGTATGTGTGCTGGTGTGGGCGTGTCTGGGCATCCAGGATCAGTTCCGCGACTACTACTATGACAACCGCAAGCTGCAGCTCAACACCGACCTCCAGTTCACGCCAGGGCAGGTGGGCGGGTGGATGGGCGGGTGGGTGTGGGTGGGTGGGTTTCTGTGCGCATCTGTGTCGCATGGGCGGGTGGGTGTGTGTATGCTGGTGTGGGCGGACCCCCCTCCCTCTCCCCTCTCCCCTCCACCCCTCACCACCGAACTTTCCGCCCCTCCCTTTCCCCCTTCCTTTCCCCGCTTCCCCTTCCCCCTCCCTTCCCCCCCTCTCCCCTCCCTTCCCTCCTCCTTTCCCCCCTCCCCTTCCCCTACTCCCCCCTCGCTTCCTGTCATACAATACCTTGTTAAACGCTTTCTTTAAATTGCTCATCACACCTTCGTCCGTTTCTTCGTAATGCCGCTCCCCCTCCACCCACCCCATGCCCCCAACCCAATTGCTCCATCCGACCCAGTCATTCAACCATGACTACTCTTCTTCATACTGTGTTCTCCCCTCAACCCCCTCACTATGCCACTACCCCTCCCAACCCCTGCCCCCTGTCCCACGCCATGCTCTCCCTGCCACCCCGTGCCGTGCCCCACCCCAGTCATTCAACGACTACTGCTCGCAGGTGGCGGGGTTCTCTATAGTGCCTTCCCCCCCCTCCCATCCCATCACCTCCCTCACAATGCCACTCCCCCTCCCATCCCATGCCACTCCATGCCCTCATCGCAGTCATTCAACGACTACTGCTCGCAGGTGGCGGGGTTCTTCATAGTGGAGGACCGCATCATGCGCACTGCTGGGGGAGTCATCAAACCCGCTCAGGTGGGCAGCTCTGGGGAGGTAGGGGGGTGAAGATAATTCAACGGGATCGCTGTAGGGAGGGGGGGTGGATTCTTTATTGTGGAGGACCAGATCATGCACACTGCGGAGACGAGCACATGGGCGTCAAAAGAGTTGTGAAAGAAGAGTGGAAAAGGGGGGAGTTGGCAGAGGGCTTGATTTGATACGACCAAGTTACGCGCGTGGACCAAGGCGCGCGCGCAGACCAAGGCGCGCGCGTGGACCAAGGCGCGCGTGCGGACCAAGGCGCGCGCGCGGACCAAGGCGCGCGCACAGACCAAGGCGCGCGCGCGGCGCGCGGCGCGGACCAAGGCCCGCGCCGCGGACCAAGGCGCGCGCGCGCGCGTGGACCAAGTCGCGCGCTTTCGCGTGCATGCATGTACAGTGTGATGGAAAAGTTTTGAGATGTTTGATATCTTGTTGTTACCTCTTTCCACCTGTCACCACCCGTCATCACCTATTACTCCTGCAGGTGGACGTGCTGTGGGAGACGGCCATAGCGCGCATGCGCAGTGTGATGGAGGAGCAGTTCGCGTCCATGTCATCGGCCGACCACATGCTCATGGTCAAGGAGGACGTATCCCTCTTCGCCGCCGCGCTGCGCAGATACGGCTTCCAGGTCAGTCAGGGAAAGCAACCCCTGGGAAAGATGGGCTTCCAGGTCAGTCAGTGAAAGCAAGCCCTGGGAAAGGTGGGCTTCCAGGTCAGTCGGCACGGCACACACAAGCCCTTCAACTGGTCAGTCAGAGGGTTTGCGTCCATGTCGTCTGCCGACCACATCCTCATGGTCAAGGAAGACGTCTCCCTCTTCACCGCCGCGCTCGCTGCGCCGATACGGCTTCCAGGTCAGGCAGCACAAGATTGCCCTTTTCCGAATTGGCTCAGAAGCCGCTGCGCTCCACTGATACGGCTTCCAGGTCAGTCGGTACAAGCCCTGGGAATCGGCAGCTTCCACTCAGCCACCTCAACTTGCACTTCGAATTGTCCTGTTTTCACCCTTTTCCTCCCTTGCCATCTGTTCCCATTACAGGTGTCTCCACTACTGGACGTACTGGCGTCCATGAGGGACAAGTACCACGAGCTGCTGCTGGAGGAGACGTGACTCCACCCAAAAGTCATGTCTGAATTAGCCTGTTGTCATCTCATCTGTACTCGTTACAGGTGTCTCCACTACTGGACGTGCTGGCGTCCATGAGGGACAAGTACCACGAGCTGCTGCTGGAGGAGGCGCGGCGGCAGGTGAACGACTCGATTGCCAACGACAAGCTGCAGCAGATGGTGATGCGCAAGGAGTATGAGTACAGCATGAACGTCCTCGCCTTCCACATCCAGGTGTGTCTGTTTGTGGCTGTGTGTGTCTGTGTGTGCGTTTTTGAACATGGGGGCTCGTACATTCAAAGCACATGAGCCCTTTCCATGGTGACAAGCTGCAGCAGATGGTGATGCGCAAGGAGTACGAGTACAGCATGAACGTGCTCGCCTTCCACATCCAGGTGTGTGTGCGTGGGGATGACATGCTCCCCCCTTCCCATACTTCCCCGGGCCTCACAGAACAAGCACACCATGACTCTACCCACATCAAAACCACTCTCTTTACCTCTTATTTCTGTGCCTCTGCCATTTGACTCTTCGAATGTTCCTCCAACCTCCCACCCCCCCGCCCCCCCCCCCCCCCACCCCCATTTTCCTCACCAGCAAACGGACATCATGCCAGCGTTCCCGTGGATCGCAACCTTCTCAGCGTCGGTGCCTGAGATCTGCCGCATCGTGCGCATCTTCATCGACAGCTCCGTCTCCTTCCTCAAGCACACGGGCCACATGGACCAGTACGACCTCGTGCGGCGCTACCTCGATCGTCTGCTCACCACTGTTGTGAACGAGGCGCTGCTGCGGCTCATTGGCAACCCCACGCTGCAAGTGTCCCACGCCATGCAGGTGAGCGGGCCTGTTGTGTCTTGAGTCGACTCAACACACACACCAGTATGGCCTCGTCCGCTGCTACCTCGACTGTCTCCTCACCACGGTGGTCAATGAGGCATTGCTGCGCCTCATTGGCAACCCCTCGCTGCAAGTGTCCCACGCCATGCAAGTGAGGAGGGCATCGTTTATAAAAGCTTTCGTCGTCTTCACAGTGCAGGCATGCAGTCGATACATACCATACCATCTCCCTAGGTGCAGCGTGCATGCCCAACCTTCATATTTCCTTTCTCCCCAACTTCCTCTCCTAGCGTATCTCCCCACGCCACCACCAGGTAGCGGCGAACATGACATTGATGGAGCGAGCATGCGCAAACTTCATATGACAATTCCTCCCTCCCTTATTTGCTGTCCCTCTTCCCCCCTCCCCTCCTCCCTGGCGTTTCCTCCCTTGCCACCATCAGGTAGCGGCGAACATGACAGTGATGGAGCGAGCATGCGCATTCTTCGCAGAGCACGCAGCCAAGTCATGCGGCATTCCCTCTCGCCTCGTGGACGGTGCGCACGGTACGCTGGCCGCCCGGAACACCCTCCGGCAGTCGCAGGCGGGGGCATATGATGCCATGCTGCGCATCATGAATGAGAAGATCGACGAAATGATGACTCCTGCAGAGCAGATCCCGTGGAATCCCATGGAACCACCCGGGGTACGTATGTGTGAACATTTCTTAGGCGCCTCAATAGACGATTCCATGCTGCGCTGCGCATCATGAATGAGAAGATCGACGAAATGATGACTCCTGCAGAGCAGATCCCGTGGAATCCCATGGAACCACCCGGGGTACGTGTGAACATTTCTTAGGCGCCTCAATAGACGATTCCATGCTGCGCTGCGCATCATGAATGAGAAGATCGACAAAATGATGGCGCCTGCAGAGCAGATCCCGTGGAATCTCATGGAACCGCCGGGGTATGTGTGAACTCTACCCGCTCAATTTCACTCTACCCGCTCAATTTCACTCTCTTCTGGTTTTTGGTGCGAAGGGAAGCGCCACTCAAACCTGAGACAAGGCATTTGGGTGGCCTCCATACTGGTACGGTGCCTGAGTGCAGTTTTGTTTTTTGGCAGCTATGTCAGTTGTCCATCCCTCGCCAGTTCCAACCCCTTTCATCCCTGCATGATTGAGAGTGAAGGAGCTTAGCTGCTGGGAGCTACTTCACAGATCCGTTCACATACCTGGCTGGAGCGCATAGTTGATGCAATACCTACATCAGCATAGTTCCCACCGTCCCTTTTCATTACCTCTTCTCCCCCTCGTCTTCCCCTCTCTTCCCTCCCGACACCCGTCCTTCTTCTCTCTTCTGGTTTCTCCCTTCTCTCCTATTGGGCCGTGTTGTTGCATGTGAGAGCAGCTGGTGAACGAGTATCTCACGGATCTGTGCATCTACCTGGAGACCATGATGGAGACGGCCAGACAGCTGCTTCCCCTCGATGCCTTCCAGCGGGTAAGTTGCTTTTCACTTACTGCACTCCTGAACTGCCTGCCACTGCTTGCTGCTGCAGATTCGGTTTGCTCCCAGTCAGCTGCATGCTTTTCCTTTCCATCACTTCGGTACCGAATGCCATGTACCTTTCATTGCCCGCTGTCCACACCTGTCGCAGGTGAGTGGAGGCATGATGCGCCACATCAGCAACGTCCTAGTCAGCCTGCTGTGTGGCTCTGCCGTGCCGCGGTTCAACCTGTACGCCATCCAGGGAGTGGACAACGACTTGCGCGTCATTGAGGGCTTTGCCGACCAGGAGGACGAGAAGAGTGGCGTGATGAAGGACAATGGCGAGGTTGTGCCTCTCAAGTCGCACCTTGCGGAGTCACGGCAGCTCATCAACCTCATTCTCAGCAACAACCCTGAGCATTATGCGACCAAGTCGCACCGGGAGAAGAATTACGGGGCGCTGGCGCCAACTAAAGTGCTCATCGTCTGCGATAAGTATCGGGTATGTATAGACTTGCTCATAAAACCAGTTAAGGCTACATTCCTACCTTTCCTGTTTGTGTAAAGGGAGGCGCCAGCTTACACCGCTGCTGTTTTATGTGATGACAGGATGTCGGGGAGGCTGCGGTTGGTTTGTTCGGCACGCGCAATTCGAAGCAGGTGAACAAGAAAAAGGGACTAGATGCTCTGGCACGCAGGCTAAGGGAGGATATTGCCAATTCGGCATGAGTAATGTAAGAGTATGTCTAGTTATATGTGGCTGCAAAACCTCTGTGTAGACATCAGTAGCGTTAATTGTTCAACTGAGTTGCTCAAAATCGGCTTCCTCAAACCCAAGCGAATGCAAACAGCCACATGCTACGCAGTACAGTTCCACGTGGTTACATAAAGGTTGTTGGAGTCGGCCATTTGAATGGCGGGAAGTCTCGGTAAATAAAACTTTGGTCACACCCGTTGCTACGTGCACTACAGTTAGCGCACGTTGAGATGTGTTGTCTGGACCTCCATTATCACGCTGGCTACAGTATTGTGGTCTTTCTTGATGCCTAAGAATGTACTGTAGAACAAGGCGTTGATTCCACGACAAGGTGATTTGTCCCAAGATATCTCAAAATGCAACTGAATGAGAAGTTCGTTCCCTGCCCGCGTTTAGAAATGGCTACCAGGGGTTCTGAACTCGTCAATGGCTACAGTACCAGGTGAACTGTAGAGCAGGCAGGATATTGCAGGCATTGTCAACGGGCGGAAAGGAAGGACGTGGTGTGGAACGTCCCGGCATCAGGGCTATTGCTAGGATTTTTGCTAGCTCGGACGATCCGGGCGCCTGTGAAAAAGACCCTGTAAAATCCGAGCCAGCGGAAAAAAAGCCTTCACGAATCCGGGTTCGAGCGAGAAAAGGCCTGAAAACATGCACAACCAGAATTTCGCGGAATTGGGGGAACGACCGAGAAACTCACAAGAGACAGCTCATCAGGGGTGGGAGAGGGGATTTTTGTGGACTTAGAAAAATATAGTGGGAGATGAAGCAGCAACTCTAGAGGGGTGGGAGAGAGACTTCAACAAATCCTTCGGAGATGAAGGAGCCGCTCTAGAGGGGTGGGAGAGAGACTTTTTGTGGACTTAGAAAAATATATTGGGAGATGAAGGAGCAGCTTTAGAGAGGTGGGAGAGAGACTTATGTAGACTTGAACAATTCTTTGGAAATGGAGAAGCGGTTCAAGAGGGGGAGGGGAGAGAGACTTCGAGGACTTAGCGGGAGGGGGATGCGAAGAAAGGTCGGGGAGAATATGTGCTGATAAACCTACCGGGTCCCCTCGAACACATCCCGGAGGGATCCGAGCGACCTCGTAAAAAGCCCTTCAGTTTTACGGGCTGGTCGCAAAACTACCTTGTGTAAAACAGGAATTGCCCAAAGATTACCCTATAATTTCAGTCAAAACAGGGTAAGTGCCCTGATGACATAGGCCCTGCCCGGCATGCCGAAGTTCACCGGGTTTTGAAGGTTCCAACATTCATAAGGACGCGGTGCAGATCGGCCCGATCTGAGTGCGATTGCATCAGATTGGAGCAATCCACCATTTCTAAGAAGCCGCAGGGGTATTTTGAGGCAATCGCATGCAATCGGGGGCAATCTGTCGATTGCGATCGGAAATCCGATCGATTGCGATCGATCGTCTCGATCTGACGCAATCTCTTGCGATCGATTGCAATCGACAGATTGCCTCAGATCGTGGGGTTTGGCGACAGTTGCGAGCGGTAACCATCCCTGCCGAAAATTTTAACAGCACCATTGGATATCGCGACATCAGACTTACCAGACGCGCCTGCCCCCCAAAAGGGGCTACGTTGTAATTGCGCGATTCAAAATTTCGCCAGGTGTCGCCAACTCTGTAGGGAAGGAACGAGTGAATTGCGCAGAGCCCTCGCGGCTGATTATCATTTACTTCCCCGAAATTCATCGTCTGATCGCGCGGCTCGGGACGCAATCGACAGATTGCCTAAGATTGGGGCAATCTCATGCAATCTGATCCGACCCGACCCGATCGGACAATCTGTGGCTAAGATCGCCCGATCTGTACCACGTCCTAAAAACTTTGCACCAGTGTGCACCACGGCTCTGCGGGCTCGCCGGTGCGTGCCGGGCCGTGCCAAACCGTGCACGAAAGCCGTGGTGAATTCGTGGTACAAATAGTTTCTGAACGGTGGAACTTCCAAAACCAGTGCACGGGGGCCACAGGGGTGCAGTGTATGTCGACGGGCTTTACGTTGCACACATACCCTGTGCGTCAAAGAGATATGAACAGTTCTCGCGTTCTCTACTCGCGTTCTCTACTCGCGTTCTTATGTTCTCGCGTTCTCTACTCGCGTTCTTATGTTCTCGCGTTCTTTCTGGAGTTCATTTCCGCATTGCGTCCGAACAGTTCCCAGTACACAAGATGATAACACCCCGGCAATCCTTGTCACACCACAACTAGTAGTTTAATTCGCCATAAGCAAACAGGGTGACCTGAAACAAAATAACATGGCTGAAACAGCCACGTGATATTTGCACCTACCCACTGGGAACGAAAGCCGACAACACTGTTGTCGTCCACACTGTTACACCTAGCCCGCGCCAATTTCACACCCCCCGAAGTGGGTTGCCCGCTTGTCCTATTCACTGACCACGTCTGCACCCTGCCCCAAAACCAGGGACCCTGGCCCAGGTGACGACAAGGGGGTGTGAAAAAGGGGGGTGTGAAAATGGCGCGGGCTATGTGTATCGACGATTCCAGAATTTGGCACTAGGCATGCAATGAGTCAAAGACCACCCCACCGCCCCGGGCGACACCTCGCCCCACCCACACCACAGCCGCCATTCTCTACAAAAGCCACCACAGAGAGACAGATCATCTTGTAGATGATAGATGCTCGCCCGCCCACTTGTCGAAAATGGTCGTCGGCAAAACAAGTGGGTGCGACGATGGGGAGAAATCGTGTCATGTCAGAAACAAAGCAGGCAGCATCAACCAGCCTGCACGGCACGGAGCAACCCGTTGCTCGGGTCGCGCGAGGTTAGAGGCTGGGTGGAAAGGGCAGAAGCGGTTTTCGTGCTTTACCGCATGAAAATACCTCGAAACTGACCCCACCGTACACGCTCTCGTATTCCCAAAGAAGTCCAAAGGGCTGCCTCAGGCTCCAAAGCCGTCCGCATTGACTCTCCCCTTCCCACAATCGTCAATCCCCGTTGCGCCCCTCTTTCCCGCGCAGTGGTTTTGAAATTGTGATGGATATTCAACTGTTCCACTCCCAGCATCAACAGGCAGGCATTTCCGAGGTGCCCTCGATTTTTCTCGCCTCAAGCTGAAGCTCACCGCTTGCTACTGTAATCTCAATTCGGCGTGTCCGATGATGATGAGTGGATTTCTGCTACAGTAGCACCCTAGAGGTCTTCATTTGAACTCGTTTAATTCAAAGCCACGCTTGCTGCACCAGCTGGCTGGGCCCGCCAGAGCGAAACTCGCTCACTGTGCATCCTGACCGTTGCTGTTGCTTCTGGTTATCCTTGCTGTAAATCCATCGGCCATGCTTTGGTATGTGAGCAGAAAATCTTGGCTGTTGTCGTCTGCCTTTCCACCCCAGATTCCAGAATGGCGGTTTCGCCTGCGTATATCCGTGCTCGCTCCCTTGCCATCCTGGTGTAGTTGACTAGGCAGTTTCCAGGCCAAGCGGGGGGTTTCGCGTCTAATTCTAGCGTCCAACCAAAATGGTGTTATTCTTTCTTTCACCCGCGCGACTCAATTAGCGCATAGTCAGGCGAAACTGGAGAGTGTAACTCTGCATACCGTTGATGCTGCGCCTTGTTCAAACCACCTATTCTTGCTCCGTCATGTGTGCGTATACCAGCAATTGTCATTGCACTCCCTTCAAACTAAGTGCAGAACCCGCTGTGCTATAGCTAGATAGCTCGCCGGCGATAAGTTTTATTAAATTAGAGAGCTGTATGCGTTCTTCTCACAACACTACACTGGAAATAACTGTCTGTAGAAAGGCTGTTTGGCAGCAGAGTAAAAGGGGGAATAAGGAGCACGGCGGAGTAAAGGCGCGTGATGGAAGCCCTTCAGAAACTGCAGGTAGGTCGCTCATTCCAACTGCTGCTAAAACCACTTAATATCAATTTGAAGGACAGCTTTTATCCAATTAATTTGAAACGGTGAAGTCGCTTCTACCGATTTTAGCCTTGGATCACTGCATAAACGTCATGACGGTGACGTCAAGAAAGTCAAGGGCCTGTAAATACTTCAGCGCAAGAGACCCGTTTCTTGTCAGTGGGTTGCCGTCACTTAACCTGACCATGGCGACTCGCGGTTTAATTCTTTAATTTCCTGCCCCTACGCATTTATCGAACTCCAGGGTATATTCGCTCGGCGGCATCACTTCGGTGGAGAATCGCACGATCGCCAGCGACGACGAAGTCTGCGACGAACGGCTAGCGATTGTCGCAACGCTCCTGATTATTCCATCCCCTCGAGTCTCCCTAACGAGTTCTCTGCTGCTACTACTGCTAACCTCGATTCCACGATCACGCCTCCCCCCGCTAATAGCACCAGCACAACGTTAGAGATGCTCGCTAGATTCACCTTGGGATCGCCGATTCGAAAAGGGCCTCGCCAAGAGCGTGTGCCTCGATCAGAGCGAGCTACCCCCGTTCTTCGCCCGCAATCGGCGCCGGCTTCTCCGGCGAGGGGTCACACCGTCACTTGCCGCGGTCCGTTTAGTCACCGCGTGAAGGAGCAGCAGCAGCAGCAGCAGCAGCAGCAGCAGCAGCAGCAGCAGCAGCAGGAGCAGCCGCAGCAGCAGGAGCAAACCTCCCACCGTCCAGTTTCCCCGTTTTTCGGACGAGGCCCGTCGCGATGTTCCCAAAGCTTTCCGCCCACCTGCGGAATCGGAAGCCCGCGGACTCCGCGCTACCGCCGATACCTGTGCGGTGTGCCGTGCGTCGATGACGTGGACTGGGACCGGGATGTCATGTTCCCGGACGATGATGACGTGGCTGATGACAGGGACGGGCGAGATCAGACGTGTAACACAGACGGTGGCGAAAATCGTGCGCTTTTCGCGGAAGTGACACGACAGGCGCTAGGGGCCGAAAACAGTCTAGGAGAGGAAAAAGCGCCTGAGGGAGGGCGAAACGCAATGTCCTTGGGAATGGAAAGCGCTTTTGCGGAGCGGAACGCACAGACAAGTCCAGACAGGTCGGAGATACCGATGCTACACAGAAACGATGTTTCTTATAGAGGAGTCGAAGCGCCTAGAGAGGCTATTCATGGTTCGCTGAGGCAGCGCGAGGGGCGGGGGACGCGGGGAGCAAGGAGGGCGCGGAGCCTTCCTCCGAACTGCAGCGGCCTTCTTGCGGAGGAGGAAGGGGACTCCGCGGAGTCCGCGCGGGCGGCGAAAATTGTCGCCGCAGGGGGATTGGCGCGGAGGGCGGAAGGCGGCGGATCAGCCAGCGGAATTAGTCCGCGCACTTGCCGGTCGCAGAGTCCGCGCGGACGGCGGATAGGCGGAAGGGCTGGCGGCAACCATGCGACGATTTTCGGCGACGAAAACGACTCCTCTGTGACTGCAGGGCGGAGCTGGTGGACCGGCGATGGCGCCCCGGCGGCGGATGCGGCGTCCATCACGGCAAGCGACGCGGACAGCGGAGTATCTTCCGTGCGTCTTCGCAATCAACACGACGGCGCGAGGTCCCCGTGGGAAGGCGGCGCGGGTCGCGCGCTGGTGGACGTGGAACGGCGGCAATCGCGGAGTTTGGACGGCAACGGACGGCTGCGCGATTCCGCGGCCGGCAGGATGGCAGGCGGCGACGGCGGCTCCGGTCGGTCGGCAGCATTTTCGAAAAGGCCGCCAGCGTCTGTGGCTATTGTAGAACCCGATGCGGCGCTTCAGGAGAGGGCGGCGGCGACGGGCGCGGGGAACGGCGCAACTGGGGAGGGCAGCGCAAGTGCGGGGGACGGCGCAAGTGCGGGGGACGGCGCAAGTGCGGGGGATGGCGCAAGTGCGGCTACAAGAGATGCTTGCGCGGACGTGCCCGGTGACGTGGCAGCAAGCGAGCAAGCGGAGCGAGGGGAAGGAGAAGGGCGGACAGAGCAGGCGGGCAACGCGGAATGCGGCGAGGAGGGGGAAGGCGGTGGCGGAGAGCGCGCAGCGGAGCCCCGCTGGAGAGATGTCAGACAGGGGATAGGCGGAGGCGGAAAGGTGTTAAGCACAAGGGCGTGTGGGGGGAGCACGATTAGCGGAGGAGAAACAAGGGAGGCGAGAGATAGGGAGGCGAGCGAGACATGCAGTATGGTGGAACTCTGGAACCCGTTTTATAACGATGACGTGATTAGCATCAAATGCAGCAGCAGCAGCAGTGAGTCGGGTGAGGGTAGTGGTGACGATATGGAGAGGACGGGGAAGGGGACGAAGGAGAAGAGAAGCAAGAGGGGGAAGACGGGGAAAAGGGGGAGGAGGCCAAGCAGTGGGAGCAGTGAGAAGCGGAAAGAGTGTTACGGTGGTATGGGCGAGCGGGAGGGAGGGGAGGAAGGGGAGGAAGGGGAGGGCGAGGAGGGCGAGGATGGGTTGGTGAAGAGCGGGAGTAGCGGTCAGTGGCAGCGGCAATGGTGGGTCCCCACTGATGCCCTCACCAGCGACAGCACCAGCACGAGCAGCAGTGGGAGCAGTGATGGTGCTGGGAACGGTGGCACCAGCACTGGCAGCACGATCCGCTGCAGCGGCAGCAACAGCAGTGGCAGCGGCGACAGCGGCGACAGCCGTGCTACTGCAGCGGCTGCTGCTGCTGCTAATGGTGATGATGCTGATGCTGCTGCTGCTGCTGCTGCTGCTGAGCAGCCTGAAGCCCAACCGCGTGCCACAGCACAAGACTACTTCCCATTCGATGGGTTCTTTCAGCCCCGGTTCGACCAGCTCTCCTCCACCGACTCCTCTTGCTCCCCTGACCTCGTGTTCTCCTTCCATCCCCCCCACCCCACCACACACTCCCTCCCCTGCTCCCCCCTCGATCCGTCCTCTCTCCTGGACTGCACTCCGTCCCTTTGTCCTCCTCCACCCCCCCTCACTCTCTCGTTCGAGAAAAGAGTGAGTGGTGGTGAGGGTGAGGTGATTGCAGGGGGTCTGTCGGCTATAGAGGAGGGTAAGGAGGGCACTGAGGTGGGTGTAGCTGCAACTGCTGCTACAGTTGCTGCGGATATTGGTAACGCTACTGTGACTCGCAGCACCCTTGCTGCTACTGCTGCTGCACCGGAAGATGAAGGCGCTGCTGCTGCTGCCGGAAGCGGCAGCGACAGTGACTCGTTTTTGAGCGACCCGTTTCACCGAGGAGTGAGGCTGGACGATGTGCTCCGGCAATGGGACCTGAGCGCGGCTATTCACGACGACGCGCAGAGTAATGAAAATGAACCAAGTATGGTTGCAGCCATGTGCACAGGAACAGCTACTGGAACCAATCAAGACAAGCCCGTTGGGCCAGGAATGACTGTTGGCAAGAGTGGCCCTTCCACCGACTCTCCTGCTCGCCTCCCCAAGCCGTCCCCTCCGTCTGCTATCAAGATCAAGTCAAACAACCCCAGCAACACGCCTCCTGCTGCCACAATCGCTACCACCAGCACCGGCACTACCACTGCCACCACCACTGCCGCCTCCACCACCACCACCACTAGCATCAACCCACGCCGTCGCCTCACCTCAGCTGTGATCCGGGGAGCCAATCATAAGCACTCCCACTCCCAACCGCCTTACTCCTCCTCTCCCTCCTCCACTGCTATCGACTCCTCCCTGTCACCCGCTGCCACCCCTCCCCGGACCATCCTCGGCCGATCCGCATCGCTGGGCTCGGCCGGAGGTTCGGCGCGGCTGGGAGTAAGAGGAGGGGTGAGCACAGCTGATGCTGTTGCTGCGGCTGCTGCTGCTGCTGCAGTTGCTGCTGCTTCTGCTGCGGCTGTGGTTTTGGGTGGTGGGGGCAGTATGACGAATAACCTTGGGACCTCTGCTGCTGCTATTGGGATGGCTGCTGTTGATTCTGCAGGCCATTTGAGCCCCAGCTGTAATGCAATCAGTGGTGGTCGAAGTGCTATTGAAGTTGCATATTCAGAGTCTGTGGCAGCAGTGGCTGGAGAGACAGCAGGGAATGCTGACAGTAACAGCATAAGCGGAAGTAGCAGCAGCAGCAGCAGCAGCATTGGTGGGAACAGTGTGAGCAACGGCAGCATCATCAACGTTCACACTGGCAGCAGAAGCATTGGCGGCAGCATTCTTGGGGAGTTGCGGGAGTGCAGGAGCAGTGGGCTGATTCGGGTGCTGCTGGCGCAGAGTGCAACCAGGAAAGGTGGGGACGGCATGCGTCAGATTGAAAAAAGAGGCAGGGTGTTACAAGATGTGCAGGAGCAGCAGCAAGTGCAGCCGCAGCAGGAGAAGCAGCAGATGCAGAAGGAACAGAAGGACGGACGGCAGGAAAGGCCAGTGGACGTGGAGGTAGTCAAGCCTGCATTCAAGAACATGCAGAAGAAGACAGAAAAGGAGCTGCCTTGGAAGCGCCGCCGGAATGGGGAGCGAGAAGAAGAGGAAAAGGTGAAGGGCGCGAGGAGGCACAGGAAGGAGTTTAGGCGCTGTCTGGGAGTGAAGAGGAAGGGTGTGAGGGTGGTGGTAGGACCCCGACGGCTGGAGCTGTTAAAAAAATGGCTATTGGAAGTTATTGCCGAGGCACAGGGGAAAGATGCAGTGGTGTTGAGAGGAGCTATGTGGTAGAGTGAGATTAATTGCTGTAGCTAATAGATGAGGGTCTGATTAACTGCCTTGATTAGTCACTAACCCACTATGTAGTTTTGCATAACATGACCCTTTCCTCATAGTACAATTTTTAGCGTGCTTCATAAATGCTTATTCTCAGGGCTGGAATTGGAAAAGACGCGTTACGAGAAATACTCTTGGACATTCGACGACTCCAAGCGGCATTCAGCTGAAGCGATTTTCGCCACGTGAATCGTTGATGCCAAGAGCACATCCATAGGCTGGCGATTTACTCCAGGTGAAGTTGGCGCTAATTCTTTCTGTCGTCCGTCATTTCGTGAAGCTCGCTTACGGTTCCGCAATGACTCTCGCGAGTAGGAGGTCGTTTTTGCTCGTGGTCTGTGTCGTCGCAACTCTTGTTTCCTTGGCGTTCTCAGAAAGTCTGCGACGACCGATTGTGCTCGCGAGCCAATCCATCGACACTCGCGTGCGGGTCTGCGACTCTGGAAACAGCGAAACCTGGTAAACGAATTGCAAAAGTCTCGCAGACCCTTTTTCCACTTGCCCTGTTTGGGAACTTGGTGGAAATTGGTGAGTCCTCTTCACACACTTCTCCTTCTGCTTGCTTTTGAGGTGAAATTGGTGAAATCTGGGATTTGATCAGGGGAGGAATATCTAGTAGCCAGCTCAAGCCGTTCTCACTGGCATTGACAATTTCGCCTTGTGTTTCCCACTTTCCAGCTTACATGGACTTCCGAAGTCCGCTTTGCTCGAATTTTCCGGCTGCGACAATGGCGAACCAGAATCGTCGGTTGGGGATGCGACCTCGCGTTCTCCAGAAGGCCATCGGAACAGAGTCAGGGAGGACGGGGACCGGATACCACTCCGTTCGACTGAATCCATCCGTGCTCTCCGCGCATTGCACGTTCTCGTTCAGTTCACCGACGAAGACTCTCAGAGTAGCAGAGAAGGTGTCAGGGACCGGCTATTTAAGGACGTCCATGCAGTCGGCGGGCGAATCCTGAACTACGTACCGGTCGACTCGTATCTGGTTCTACTTCCCTGTGTTAAAGCGGCTCACGCGCTCAGTCGGCTCTCCTACGTGTCGTGGATTGGCCGTCTACGAGGAGAGTCGAAGCTAGCGCCCGAATGGGGTGCCATTCTACGGTCAGTCACAGCTTCATCCATTGTTTCTTTGCCTTCTCTCTCTACTTCAGACTTCAGAATTAACCGTCGGTTGCTGCTGTTATCATATGCTGTCTTCCGTCGTCGCTTTTTTGTGAGACGTTGCAGTGCTGAATCAGGCTGTTTCTCGTTCCAGGCACTATAAAACCGCAGATGACATCAAGGAGGAAAGCTCTATATATGACATGATCGATGTGGACAAAGAAGGCCGGCCACTTATCACAGTCGTGCTGCCGGATCAAGGCCCGGTCGGCAACTCCAAAGCATACGCTTCCTTCATCCACAGCAGCCTGTGTGAAAAGTTCGTCCATTTGCAGCAACCAATCGACGGATCAGATTCAGTCCGTCTACCAGATCCTACGGTTTCAAGCTCCGCAGTAAACCAGTCGTCAGATAGTACCCCTGCTGGAGCAATGCAACATGTCAATCGACCGAAGAATCTGGATGATCCGCGCACCCAGCTTCTGGAGACATCTGACAGCCTGTATTGCTCTACCTTCAGTGTGTCGCTAGAAGGAATCAGCACCACCATTCACGACTCAAGCCAAGATGATATAATCTCATCAGCACCTAACAACATACCCGATAGCACCACATCTGATACCACCCAGAGCCATCATCATCATCATCATCATCAGCATGACGTCACCAGTCAAGGTCTGCTGGTGCTGGCAGCGCCGAAGCCCCTGCTGCCTGCCGTGCTGCGCTGGCTGCAGCAGCAGGGGTGGGTGCAGTGGGTCGCACCTCGGCCCCGTTCTCGCCTGCACAACCGGTGGGCCTCAGCTGTCACTCAGAGCGGCACCTCCGTTGGCTTGGACGACGACCCAGGGTTCGGATCGCCAGGATCAGGCAGCGGAGGAGGTGGTAGTGAGCAGCAGAGGAGTGGGTTTGGGGCGGCACGGCCCCTTTGGAGTGCTGGAATCACGGGAGTCGGGCAGATCGTGGGAATTGGTGACAGCGGCATCGACATGCAGAGGTGGGAGTGTAGCAGAGTCCTACTCTTTCGCTGACCTTTCTGCTCTTTGCGTCGCTCCTGTTCTACGCCATGCACTTATCCGTCTCATTGCAAGTTCTGCCTTTCTTGCCTTCTCCGTTGCCTCACCCACTCTGAATCCCCACTTTCACGCAGGCTCATCTCTTTTTCTCTCCTGAGCCCCTCACCCTTCCAGCTGCTTCTTCCAGGACGATTCCGTCCCTCTGCCAGGCCCCAATCACCGCAAGGTGGTGCAGTACCGGGTGGTGAACGGCGACACAGTGGACGAACTTCCAAGGATCTTGAACGACCTTTTTCCCTCTCCTTCACTCCTCTCCTCACCCTTCCAGCTGCTTCTTCCGGGACGAAGCAGTGCCCCTACCAGGCCCCACGCACCGCAAGGTGGTGCAGTACCCGGTGGTCAACGGGGACACAGTGGACGAGGTGGGGCACGGCACCCACGTGGCCGGCTCCGCTTTCACTCAGGCCAGCCTTCCTTCCCCTCCCTTGCCCCTCACCCTGCAGTTGCTTTTTCCGCGATGACGCAGTCCCTCTGCCAGGCCCGACTCACCGCAAGGTGGTGCAGTACCGGGTGGTCAACGGGGACACAGTGGACGAGTTGGGGCACGGCACCCACGTGGCCGGCTCCGTGGCAGGGGCCTGCTCGCAGCAACAGCAAGCACAGCAACCGCAGCCGGGGCAGCAGGGGGCGAAGGGGCCAGAGAACGTGGATCTGTACCCTGGCATGGCGCCTGATGCGCGCATTGCCTTCACTGACATGGGCGAGGGCGATGTGGGTTACATCATGCCGCCTGGTGACCTGGGCAGTGGGTACTATGGGTGAGTGAGGCTCTGTTAAGGTTCATTTGCTGCTCGGGTGATTGGTCGATGTGTCATCATCCACCATAGAATGTGGTAAGTCCTCCTCTAGGCTTAGCTGTTGCGGTCCAATTTTGCCTCACTCTGCTCAGCTTCCCGGTGGTGTAACTGTGGGTGCAGGCAGGCAATGAAGGCGGGGGCGTTGATCCACTCGGACTCGTGGGCGTCAGGAGTGTTTGCATATGACTACATGGCGCAGTCAGTCGACCGTTTCACCTTCAACAACCCTGTGAGCTCCCAGAACTATCTGTGCCTCTTAACATGCTGCAATCAGCAACAGGCAGGCAGCCCTGTGGAAAGATGTCATCCCTAAGTCCTTACTCATCCAAGCCACAACACATCCATGCCTCTAACCATGCTGTTCCTGTTCCCCTGATCCGTGCTCTCTCTCTCCCTCTCTCTGTCCCGTGGCAGAACTTCCTCCCAGTAGTCGCGGCAGGCAACATGGGCGCTGTGCACCGAGACACAGGTGCGTGTGTGGTTCTTATACTCGTCACACCCTCCCCACCCACCACCGCTACCCCAGTCTCCATCTCGTCACCTGCTCTCCCCAAGAACTGCCTCACAGTGGGGGCGACCCTCTCCGTCTCACCCTTCCGATTATGAATATCTCCTTCGTAAACCAAGCCACCTACACTCCCAACCCCTGCCTTTCCCCCTCTCCCCCAGTCTCCATCTCATCGCCTGCTCTCGCCAAGAACTGTCTCACAGTAGGCGCAACCCTCGGCAGTGTCGGCGCCTCTCCGCCCCTCCTCGCCACGCCCTTCAACCTCTCCATCCTCGCGCCCCCCCCCGCCCTCCTCCCCTCCGACCGCGCCTGGTACCCTCTCCTCTCACACGCCTTTGGCGCCACCTTCCAGTCGGGCCTATGGGAGGTGGGGGTGCCGTGGGGGCTCGTGAGGGGCGAGCCGAGGGATGGGTGCAGAGCGGTGCGGGGCGGTAGTGGGAGCGCGGGAGGGAGTGTGGCTGGGTTGATTGTGCTGCTTGATGCGGGAAACTGCATCTTTGCGGATAAGGTGGGTGCCAGTCTGCTGCCGTTCTTTCCTCTGACAACACAGTCACGCTGCTGGTTTTCAAGTTCTTCTGTGCTATTTTCTTGTTTTAATCTGTGCTTTGCGTCAGAACAAGGTCATTTTATGCTGCTCTCAGTCAACACCAGGCTGTTTCAGCAATTTGTTTCCTCTTGCTTCGCCCACATCATGGCGCTGCTAAGCATTTCACATAAGGCCTTGCGATTCAAAGTCGTCCCAGCAGCAGCCGTCACGTTTATGGCCAATCTAGTACAGCTCATCCCTCCTTCACATAACCCGCGTGTGATGAGTCGATTTTTAAGTCGACTTAAAAAGCAGCAGCCGTCACGTTTATGGCCAATTTAGTACAGCTCATCCCTCCTTCACATAACCTGCGTGTGATGAGTCGATTTTTAAGTCGACTTAAAAAGCAGCAGCCGTCACGTTTATGGCCAATTTAGTACAGCTCATCCCTCCTTCACATAAAATCTACTGCGTTTGTTTCTCCTTAAAACGTGCCACACTCACCATTTCAGTTCAGGAACGCGCAGGCAGCAGGTGCAGCAGCAGCAGTGATTGTGGCTAATGACACTCTTGGCTACTTCCCCATGGCTGCTCCCTTTGGCGCTGACCCCAGCATCACCATCCCAGGTGCGATCTCACACCATCTCTCACACCATCTCTCACACCATCTCCCACACCATCTCTCACACCACCTCCCACACCACCCAAAAACTGCTTCTTCTCTTTCTCACTCTGCGCTCCATCCAGCAGCATCGCACCCAACCCCTACGTGGCCAAGCCATTCAGCGCATCTCCATTCACCTGCAAGATTTCTTTCAGCAGCACTTGTGTTGTCCACAACCTCGTCTCACAATCCTTTGTGCCATCTGTGCTGGTTCGCTCCCCCATGGCTGTGCCAGGTGGTTCTGTGCCACAAGCAGTGGGTGCCATCCTAGATGCAGCTCTCAGGAGGGGCCAGCCCGTGCAAGTGCGTGCTTCTTGCTTTCTCATGCCGTCACTTGCCTTCACCTGCCTTCACATGCCTCTGCCTTCACATGCTGTCACATGCCTTCACCTGCCGTCACATGCCTTCACATGCCTTCACCTGCCTTCACATGCCTTCACATGCCTTCACATGCCTTCACCTGCCTTCACCTGCCTTCACCTGCCTTCACATGCCTTCACCTGCCTTCACCTACCTTCACCTGCCTTCACCTGCCTTCACATGCCTTCACCTGCCGTCACATGCCTTCACATGCCTTCACCTGCCTTCACCTGCCTTCACCTGCCTTCACCTGCCTTCACCATTCCCCCCCAGCAGGTGTCCATCTCACCCCTGGCAGTGTCTCTCGCCTTCCGCCCTAATAGCATGGCGCGCTTCTCCTCGTGGGGTCCCACGCCTGATGGCCGCATTAAGCCCGACATCACTGCTCCAGGTAATGCCGGCAGGGCTGGCAGAGGTAATGCGGGCAGAGGGGTGATTATGTTCGTTCAGCCCGGCCAGCATGGCACGTTTCTCCTCGTGGGGTCCCACCCCTGATGGCCGCATTAAGCCCGACATCTCTGCTCCAGGGCTAATAGGGCTTATGTTCGGTCCCTCAATGCAAGATATTCTGTTCTTGGGCCCTGCAAGGCTGAAGACTGGTTGCTCTCGCTCGGTGCTTGTGCGTATCTCACTACTCCCTGTGCTTCTCACAAACGTTCTTTTATTGATTCGCCCCTCCCTTTTCATATCCCTTTCCTCCCTATCAGTCCCACCTATCAGTCCCACCTATCAGTCCCACCTATCAGTCCCACCTATCAGTCCCACCTATCAGCCCCACCTATCAGCCCCACCTATCAGTCCCGCCTATCAGTCCCACCTGTCAGTCCCACCTATCAGTCCCACCTATCAGTCCCACCTATCAGTCCCACCTATCAGTCCCACCTTTCAGTCCCACCTTTCAGTCCCACCTCTCAGTCCCACCTATCAGTCCCACCTATCAGTCCCACCTATCAGTCCCACCTATCAGTCCCACCTATCAGTCCCACCTATCAGTCCCACCTATCAGTCCCACCTATCAGCCCCACCTTTCAGTCCCACCTATCAGTCCCACCTCTCAGTCCCACCTCTCAGTCCCACCTATCAGTCCCACCTATCAGTCCCACCTTTCAGTCCCACCTATCAGTCCCACCTATCAGTCCCACCTATCAGTCCCACCTGTCAGTCCCACCTATCAGTCCCACCTTTCAGTCCCACCTATCAGTCCCACCTATCAGTCCCACCTATCAGTCCCACCTATCAGTCCCACCTATCAGTCCCACCTATCAGTCCCACCTATCAGTCCCACCTATCAGTCCCACCTATCAGTCCCACCTATCAGTCCCACCTATCAGTCCCACCTGTCAGTCCCACCTATCAGTCCCACCTATCAGTCCCACCTATCAGTCCCACCTATCAGTCCCACCTATCAGTCCCACCTATCAGTCCCACCTTTCAGTCCCACCTATCAGTCCCACCTATCAGTCCCACCTATCAGTCCCACCTATCAGTCCCACCTATCAGTCCCACCTATCAGTCCCACCTATCAGTCCCACCTTTCAGTCCCACCTATCAGTCCCACCTATCAGTCCCACCTATCAGTCCCACCTATCAGTCCCACCTATCAGTCCCACCTATCAGTCCCACCTATCAGTCCCACCTATCAGTCCCACCTATCAGTCCCACCTATCAGTCCCACCTATCAGTCCCACCTATCAGTCCCACCTATCAGTCCCACCTTTCAGTCCCACCTATCAGTCCCACCTATCAGTCCCACCTATCAGTCCCACCTATCAGTCCCACCTATCAGTCCCACCTATCAGTCCCACCTATCAGTCCCACCTATCAGTCCCACCTATCAGTCCCGCCTATCAGTCCCGCCTATCAGTCCCACCTATCAGTCCCACCTATCAGTCCCACCTATCAGTCCCACCTATCAGTCCCACCTATCAGTCCCACCTATCAGTCCCACCTATCAGCCCCACCTATCAGCCCCACCTTTCAGTCCCACCTATCAGTCCCACCTATCAGTCCCACCTGTCAGTCCCACCTATCAGTCCCACCTATCAGTCCCACCTATCAGTCCCACCTATCAGTCCCACCTATCAGCCCCACCTATCAGCCCCACCTATCAGCCCCACCTTTCAGTCCCACCTATCAGTCCCACCTATCAGTCCCACCTGTCAGTCCCACCTATCAGTCCCACCTATCAGTCCCACCGATCAGTCCCACCGATCAGTCCCACCTATCAGTCCCACCTATCAGTCCCACCTATCAGTCCCACCTTTCAGTCCCACCTATCAGTCCCACCTCTCAGTCCCACCTATCAGTCCCACCTATCAGTCCCACCTATCAGTCCCACCTTTAAGTCCCACCTATCAGTCCCACCTCTCAGTCCCACCTCTCAGTCCCACCTATCAGTCCCACCTATCAGTCCCACCTTTCAGTCCCACCTATCAGTCCCACCTATCAGTCCCACCTATCAGTCCCACCTATCAGTCCCACCTATCAGTCCCACCTATCAGTCCCACCTATCAGTCCCACCTATCAGTCCCACCTATCAGTCCCACCTATCAGTCCCACCTTTCAGTCCCACCTATCAGTCCCACCTATCAGTCCCACCTATCAGTCCCACCTGTCAGTCCCACCTATCAGTCCCACCTTTCAGTCCCACCTATCAGTCCCACCTATCAGTCCCACCTATCAGTCCCACCTATCAGTCCCACCTATCAGTCCCACCTATCAGTCCCACCTATCAGTCCCACATATCAGTCCCACCTATCAGTCCCACCTATCAGTCCCACCTATCAGTCCCACCTGTCATTCCCACCTATCAGTCCCACCTATCAGCCCCACCTATCAGCCCCACCTTTCAGTCCCACCTATCAGTCCCACCTATCAGTCCCACCTGTCAGTCCCACCTATCAGTCCCACCTATCAGTCCCACCTATCAGTCCCACCGATCAGTCCCACCTATCAGTCCCACCTATCAGTCCCACCTATCAGTCCCACCTTTCAGTCCCACCTATCAGTCCCACCTCTCAGTCCCACCTATCAGTCCCACCTATCAGTCCCACCTATCAGTCCCACCTTTCAGTCCCACCTATCAGTCCCACCTCTCAGTCCCACCTCTCAGTCCCACCTATCAGTCCCACCTATCAGTCCCACCTTTCAGTCCCACCTATCAGTCCCACCTATCAGTCCCACCTATCAGTCCCACCTATCAGTTCCACCTATCAGTCCCACCTATCAGTCCCACCTATCAGTCCCACCTATCAGTCCCACCTATCAGTCCCACCTATCAGTCCCACCTATCAGTCCCACCTGTCAGTCCCACCTATCAGTCCCACCTATCAGTCCCACCTATCAATCCCACCTATCAGTCCCACCGATCAGTCCCACCTATCAGTCCCACCTTTCAGTCCCACCTATCAGTCCCACCTATCAGTCCCACCTATCAGTCCCACCTATCAGTCCCACCTATCAGTCCCACCTATCAGTCCCACCTTTCAGTCCCACCTATCAGTCCCACCTATCAGTCCCACCTATCAGTCCCACCTATCAGTCCCACCTATCAGTCCCACCTATCAGTCCCACCTATCAGTCCCACCTATCAGTCCCACCTTTCAGTCCCACCTATCAGTCCCACCTTTCAGTCCCACCTTTCAGTCCCACCTATCAGTCCCACCTATCAGTCCCACCTATCAGTCCCACCTATCAGTCCCACCTATCAGTCCCACCTATCAGTCCCAGCTTGTCTCACTCCTCCCGTGTCATTGCCATTCGTTGTGCATCTGCCTCCTCCCTGACGCGTGGCAGGGGAGGGCATATGGTCAGCAAAGAGCAACCGCAACCTTCGCCAGCCATCGTGCTCTGTCACACGTGAGTGCTGCAGTCAGCTCCTCTTATGCCCATCAGATTTCCCTCAGGTGCCTGTCAGGTCAGGTTCCCCGCATGTAACCGTCAGGTGCTATGCCCATCAGCCGCTGCTCTGCTCACTCTGCTCTACTCTGCTCTTCTCAGCCATTTCTCAACCATTCCTGCTCTGCTCAACCATTCCTCCCCGCCATCCAGAGATGTCAGGCACCTCAATGGCCACGCCCATCACTGCCGGCTCGGCTGCTCTGCTCAGGCAATACTTCATGGACGGCTTCTACCCCACTGGCCAGAGGGTAACCCCATGCGCTACCCTGTAAACACCGTGACAGGTTTTGTGCATGCCTGTTGAAAATTTCTGCCACGTGCATGCTATGCGTGCTATACACAAATTTACCGCTGTTCATTGATGACATGACAATTCAGTTGACCAAGAAGCCATATAACTTCTCATCTATAATCTGCTGTGGCATTCTTCTAGGTTCCAGCCAATGGCTTCGTGCCAAGTGGCATGCTGCTCAAGGCCACGTTGATAAACGGAGCCATGCCTCTCACAGCTGGAAACGGTGAGTCTCACTACAAGACAAAAAACTTACTCTTTTCTCTCTGCTCTCTGCTCTTTGCTCTCCGCGTAGCGTTCTCTGCGATTCGCTCTCCTCACTGTACTGTCCCTCTCTGATTATCCCCTGCCTCTTTCACGCTGTGCCCGTGCTCCCTGGCCCCCACCAGGTGACCGCTACCCTATAGACGCACCACCCTCCATGAACCAGGGCTTTGGCCGTGTGCACCTAGGCAATGCTGTGCCTATAGCGGGTACAGCATCCTTCACTACAGTGGCAATCGAGGGACCTGCCCTGAAGACCGGTAACGGTTACCGCATCTGCTTGCTGGTTAATCCTGAGAGGGGAGATGGCGGAACGGGGAGCAAGGATGTCAAGATCACGCTCACCTGGTAAGTGTTCTGTTTAGTCTGCTTTTAAAATCTCTCTCTGAAGCACTCCATATTTCTCACTCACCAAATGATGTTTTGCTTCCTTGGTCCCATTCTGTCCAGGTACGATGCTCCAGCAGCGCTGGTGGCGAATCAGAACGCGGCGACACCACTGCTGGTGAACAACCTGGACCTTGCAGTCACCTCCCCCACCGGTCACACCTTCTTCGGGAATGGGGGGCTGGCGCCTGACGCCCGTAACACTGTGGAGCAGGTAGGACCTCTGAGAACAACCTGCTGGTGCTGCTGGTGCTGCTGGTGCTGCTGGTGCTGCTGGGGATTATGGTGGTTATGGTGCCGGTGGTACTGCTGGTGAACAACCTGGACCTCTCAGTCACCGCTCCCACCGGTCACACCTTCTTCGGGAACGGGAGGCTGGCTCCCGATGCCCGCAACACTGTTGAACAGGTACTTGCGGTTCTCAGACGTCTCAAAAGCCTTTTGGGGCATCGCAGAAGGTATCTCGCTGTCCTTGCCCCAATGCCACCCATCTGCCCCAATGCCACCCATCTGCCCCAATGCCACCCATCTGCCCCAATGCCACCCATCTGCCCCAATGCCACCCATCTGCCCCCATGCCACCCATCTGCCCCCATGCCACCCATCTGCCCCCATGCCGCCCATCTGCCCCCATGCCACCCATCTGCCCCCATGCCACCCATCTGCCCCCATGCCGCCCATCTGCCCCCATGCCGCCCATCTGCCCCCATGCCGCCTGTCTGCCCTCATACCCGCACCGCATGTGCCCCCATGTGCGTGCAGGTGCACATCACAGCGCCACAGCATGGAGTGTACACGGTGGACGTGAGGGCAGTGCAGGTCAACATGCCCATGCCAGGCACGCCACCAGGGAGCACTCCAGACAGACCCCCAGGCAACCCCCCAAGCAACCCCCCTAGTAGCAGGGATGGCGGGCAGCGGTTTGCTGTGGCAGCCAGAGGCCCCATCACTCAAGTCGACTGCCTGTGTGAGCCTTCTCTGCCCCTCCTCGTCCATCTTCGTGCCGCCTCACCCCTCCTTTCCCCCCCTCACCCCTCCTCGCCCTTTCTCACTCACCCCTCCTTGCTTCTCCTTGCCCTTCCCTCACCTCGTCACGCCCCATGCTATCCTATGCTCTCTCCCTGATTCCTCCTCCTTCCAGACCTATTTTCCTGTCCCTTTCTGACAAGCACTCTTAATACTCCTCCTATCCTCACACCTCTCCTTTCTCATGCCCCTGCTTATCTTTCCCCATCTCTCCCCTCCCCCCAACCCCCGCCCTCCCTCCATCCAGATGTGCAAGCGGACCCCCCGCCCCCGCCCCTATCCAGCAGCCCCTCTCTGTCCCGCTCCACTCAATTCGCTTCTCTTAACCCCGTCTTTCCGTTCCCCTTCCCCCTTTTCCCCCCCATCCAGATGTGCAAGCGGACCCCCCGCCCCCGCCCCTATCCAGCAGCCCCTTCCTCTCCATTCCGCTCCTCTTCCCCGCCAGCCCCGCCACCACTGTCCTCTGCGGCCTCACTCGGGTCACCTCCATCACCAGCAGCAGCAGCGCCACCACCACAACCACCACCACCAGCACAACCAGCAGCAGCAGTATGGCATCAGCAGTTGTTGCCAGCACTGACGGACTGATGGATTATGCTGCAACTGATTCGTCTGCAGCGGTGGAGGATGGATGGGTTGGCGGATGGGGTGTGCAGGGTGCTGCGGCACCGAGTGAGGAAGCAGAGGGCGGAGCGTTGGGCAGTGTGGGAAGAGAAGCAGGAGTGGCAGAAGGGGCAGGCGAATGCCCAGAGCAAGGGGCAGTTGCAGGGGGTGCAGGAGAAGCAGGAGACAGAGGAGGAACAGAGGATGAAGGAGGAGCAGGGGTAGCAGCATTGGGAGGCACAGGGGAAGAAGAGAGTCGCGTGGTGGTGCTGCCATGGGGACCGTGCACCTCCCCTGTCACCTTCCCATCCCTCGGTAGCGGCACCTATGTCTTCTCAGCTCAGCTCCTAGACACCTCCTACACCAACACCCTCATCAGCCCTCTTTACAGGACCACCTTTGCTGTCGATCTCGAAGCACCCACCACCACACTCTCCTCGTCTTACACACCTGCCACCACCGCAACCGCTTCTTTCACCTTTTCCTCCCCGTCTGCTGACGTCAGCCACTTCCAATGCCAGCTCAGCGCCTCGTCGCTCTCGCCTCCCCCCGCCGACCCCATCACCCCACAGCCAATCACGTTCCACCAAGCAAGCAGCATCCCCACCCGCCTCCTCGAATGGCTGTTCCCGCCCTCTATAGTCACACAGAGCGAGCAGCTTCCAGCCACAAGCCCAGGAGGGCAAACCCCTCGTTTGGATCACACCCAGGGAGGCACCACGTGGGGTAACTGGACTAACTGCACCAGCCCTGTGACTTACTCTGGCTTCTATGACGGTCGCTATTCCTTCTGTGTGAGAGCTGTGGATCAGGCTGGGAATGCGGATCCCGCCCCCCCTATAGTCACATGGGCGCTCGATACTGTCCTGCCGAAAGCTGTGATTCTAGAAGCGCCGGCGGTGTATTCGAACCGAGGGAGCGTTCGGTTCGCGTTCGGGCTTGATGGGGAGGAGGTGGGCTCTGGGCAGGCAACGGCCTCACAGATGGCTTTTGAGGCGCTAGAGACATTGGCTGTGGTGGGTTTAAACCAGGAAGGTGCCCCATTCGCACCAGAGTCACAACCACAAGAGTCACAACTGCTACAGTCACAAGAATCACGAGACGACTCACAAGAGTCACGAGGGCCAGCAGAGTGGAGCTGCAGGCTGCAGGCATGGAGTGGAGCCACGTCCCCGCCTCCCCTCTTTGACTGGCGCAGCTGCAGCAGCCCCTTCCAGGTGGGGATGGACAGCATTAGCAGCAACAGTAGTAGCAGCAGTAACAGCAGTGAGGGCAGCGACAGCAGTGACAACAGCGGCAGAAGCAGTGGTGACAGCACCAGTAACAGCATTGCTAACAGCAGCAGCAATGGGTGGTATCTCTCCGCACCGCTGCCAGACGGCACGTACCTCTTCAGTGTGCGTGCCACGTCAGCATGGAACCGCCACGGCCTCAACAACGCGTCAGCCAGAGCAGCGTTCACCATCGACACCACCCGTCCACGTGTGCTCCTCCTCTCCCATCCCCCCCGCGTCCTCACTCGCCCTCAGGCTGTCTTCTCCTTCTTCTCCCCCAAGATGGTTACATTCACCTGCCGACTCACCACCTCTTCTTTCCTTCCACCTGCGGACTCCATCCCGTCCTCTTCTCCTCTCAACTCCTCTCCCTCTTTAGCCTCCTTTTCCTCCTCCACCGCCTCGTCCTCCACTTCTTCTTCCCCCACCTCTCCACCCCTCTCGTCCACCATCCCTTTCTCGCCATGTGTCAGCCCCGTGCGCTACAACCTGCCAGATGGCACGTACACGTGGCAGCTGTCAGCCATAGACTGGGCGGGGAATGAAGCAGAACCAGTGCTGCTGGATTTCACAGTAGACACCTCACCCCCAACAGCGCAAATCTTATCTCTCTTCGTCATACCTGACTCCACTCCTCTCAACACCTCCAACTCCACTCCTCCCAACTCATCCTTCCAGCTACCCAACTCACTCCCCTCCGCTACCTTACTCGCCACCTACATGGGTTCAGACGGCCAGCCGGGCTCCGGAATTTCGGGATTCCTCTGCCACGTGGCACTGGCTGATTCGCCAGAGCCTCCAATGTTATCTCCAGGAGCCTGGGCGCCGTGCACCAGTCCGCTGAAAGCACCTGGGCTTTCACCTGGGCAGTACATATTGATGGTTGCGGCGAGAGACAGAGGTGGTATTGTCAGCACCAGACCTGCTATGAGCAGTTTCACTGTGGAGGCACCTGTGGTGGTGACAGGTCTGCAGGACGAAGGAGGAGAAGGAAGCAGCCAAGTCGATTCTCCTGATACCGGCACCGATGGTGGTAGAACCGTCTCACAGACTGCTGCTGCTGCTGATGCTCGTGGTGTGTCATTCGTCGCACACCTTCCACCCGCATACAGCAGCAACAGCTCTGCCACGCTCCACTTCATCACTGTACACAGTAACGGGACGTTCTCAAACGAGGACACACAGAATCAGCCAACAGCTCCTTCTGAATGCGTTCTGCTCTCCACTCCCCTCCTCCTCTCCACACCCCATCAACCGTCCACGTCTTTCCAGTCTCGTCCCACTCCCCCCTTCCTCGCATGGCCGTGCAGCAGTCCCATCATCCTGCCCTCTCTCCCTGACGGTCGCCGCCAGCTCTGGGTGCGCTTGGTGGGGGAGCAACGCAGTGGGGGGACGTGGGCAGCCTTCTCCTGGACTGTTGGTGAGTGCCTTAACCTTCTCACTGACCTTTTTTCTCTCCTAGACTCTTGGTGCGTTACCCTTGACTCTCACTGCCCTTTTGCCAGCGCCCCACCCCTGCATACCCTTGCTCCCCCCTTGTCTTTCATTGCTGTCCGTCTTTGCCCATCTGCTTGCTTTGACCATCTTCCCTCCTCGTTTCTCCCCACCAGCTGCTTGTCATCCTACCTCTTTATGTAGCAATGTCTCTCCTCTTCTTGATTCGCTCCTCATCATTCTTTGCCTCTGCAACCTCATGTCTCTGCTTCTCCCATCCCTTCACACTTCCTCCCCTCTACCCCCTGTCACTCTCCTCCAGACACCACCCCACCCGCCACATTCATCTCGTGGGCCAATGACAGCATGCCAGGTCTCGCCTCCTCATTGAGTCCCACCGTGCAGGTGGCAGGGAGGGAGGAGGAGGGAGGGAGTGGGGTGGTGCGCCTTGAGTGTAAACTGGAGGCGATGATGAGAGGAGGGGGAGCAGGAGGCGGAGGAGCAGCATTAAGAGAGGGACTAGGAGCTGGAGGGGAAGGAGGTGTAGAGGGGAGAGGGGACAGCAATGAAGGCACTTCCACGTGGCAGCCCTGCATTGGCTCATACCCACCAGTGCCCGACACGCCACTAACCAACCACAGCACAGACAGCTCCACCTCTCAACTCACAGCTGACGTCACCCTCGCCTCTCTCCTTCCCTCCCCAGCGAACACCCCCGCTCAGACACCCCCTCTGAATCCCCTTCTTGGCGCATCTTTCCATGCAGCTCTCCCGGATGGTGTCTATGCGTTCAGTGCGCGGGCTGTGGATGCAGCAGGGAATGCGGACCCAAACCCGCCCTCTGTGCAGCTTGTGGTCAGTGCCTGGGCGGTATCCCTGGCTGGGCTGGAAAAGGGAGAGCAGGGAGGAGGTGAAGGCAGGAGCGACATCAATGCTGATACTGATATCACTGCGGACACACACCCTCCGTCGCGCCTTCCCTCTGCCTCCTTTCCCACTGTCGCCATTGCATGTGACGGCCGCTGCGCTGCCATGCTGCCGGCCCCATTCGCCTGGGAGCCCTCATTTGCTCAACAGGGCAGAAGCCTGACCACCGGCATGACCCAGCCCAGCTCACCATCAGCAGCACCATCCCCATCCCCGTTCCCATCCCAATCCCCATCACCATCCCCATCACACTTCCCGTCGTCCCTCCCTTCACCACCACCTGCCTCCACCACTCTAGAGTCCCTTATGGCGCCCAGTGCTGCCAGCAGTGGTAGCCTCAAGGTGCTGGTGGCTAGGGGAGGAGAGGTGAGGAGGGGAGAAGCAGAAGAGGTCACTGGAGAAGAATGGAGGAGGGGGCAAGAAGGCGTGAGGGGAGAAGAGCTGAAAGGACAATCCGTGGATGGAGGTGTAGCAGCGGCGCCGAGTCCAGCAGCAGAAGGCACGCCTCTGGTCTTCAACGTGCTCTCTGACGTCGTATCCTTCACCTTCCCTCCTGCTCCACCTCCTCAGCCCGAATCTCACCCTCCTGCTGCGGACCCGAGAGTGGGGCCTGCCTTCCTGTCCGCCCCCCGGTCCCGTCTTGCCCTTGCATCGCCTCTGATTATGATCGGATTCACCCTCCCAGACCCCTGTGACCCTAGCAGCGACAACACTCCATGTGCTGATATGCAAGCGCAGAAGGCTGAACCTGAATCAACAGTGACCCCTCAGGCAGGAGCTCTAGCACCCACGGCAGCCCCAGTGGCAGCAGCAACACCCATTCCACCAGCAGCAGCAGCAGCAGCAGCAGCAGTAGTGGTTGTGCAGGGCTTCGCACTGCAGGAGGTTCTTTCCTCTGCCATCAATGCATCCCTCCCTGCATCTCCTGCCATTGCCATACTCTTCCACCCTCACACCACGCCCACACCCACATCACCACCACCATCACCACCATCATCACCATCCTCATCCCTCCAGCCACATGGCAACCCCCCAGTGGACGGCTGGCAGCTGCTGGACGCGCGTCTGCTGTGGCAGCAGCAGCAGCCCGGCGTTGCCACCTTCTCTGCCCTGCGCCCTGGACTCTACGCGGTGGCTGTGCAAGAAACCAGTGAGTGCGCCAACCTGATGACTTCCCTTCACCATCTCAATATCCTTCTCTGCCCCTTCTCCTGGTCTCTTCCTCAGCTCTTACTCTCTGTTCCGCTTTGCATCAGACCAGTTCCACCTCCTTGGAATGGAAATGGCAAGCATTTCTGGGCATCTCCATTCCACCAGGCCTCGCATCCCTTCCCACGTGACATCCTAAATCCGATCACGCTCTCCTCCCCCCGTCGCTGTGCCTCTGTGTGCGTCTGGCTGGCCTGTTTTGAACTGGAGTGCGTGTGGCTGGTTCAGGCAATCAAGACCTATCAACCACTCTCACCAGCGCCCCAGCGACCACAGGAACGAGCTCCCTAGCTGCATCCAGCAAGGCGTGGGTGATAGCGCTAGCAGTCTCGCTCGGCGTGGGTGCTCTCGTGGTCGCAGTGGGGCTGGCGGTAGTCTTTGTTCGGGTTAGAGACCGTGCCAGAGTTTCACCGCACCTGCGCAAGTGAGGGGGCGAGTGACGAGTCTCTCCGATTCCTCCCCACCTGCTGCTGTCAATGCATGTGAGCGCCTTCAGTCGTGATTCATGACTACTGAAAGAGCTTCCCTCGTGACTTGTGGCTCCTTGGCCTTGATTAAGAGCAGCTGTGCCTGGTGCATTGCCATAGGATGCATGGCATGGCATGACATTGCATTTCTTCTCTTGCAAGGGCTGTCGCAGATTATCTTGTTCTCAATCAAACCACTAAATATCTGATACTGAGATCAGTAAATGGAACTTTTAGTGAACATGGACATATTTAATCCTGAGGTCTCTCCACTGGATCATTATAACTGATAAGCAATAATACGTAAATCTAAGATTGGTAGAGATCCATTTGATGGTGATACGCATTTGCGGGTTTACAGCGGTGGCATCAAAGTTTTTATAGACATTACCGTACTACATGGTAGAGGTGGTAATGATTTTATATTACTACAGTGCTGCTGATTTCATTGTGGTCAGCTTCTTTCCAAGTGTGCGTGTGTATAGTTATGCCAATTAATTTGTTCATGACTCCAGGCAAGTGGTGTAGGGTGGGTGACTAAACTGATCTTGCGGAGCTCCCGCGCAAACTCCGCAAACAATGCGCTGCGCAGGCGCAGGACAGGTCGCGGGGATTGGTTCCTTCTCAAATTTAAAGGTGCGCAGCCTTGGGCTCAGCAAGTCGGAAAGTTGTCAGAGCTTGACGGCACAAAGCACAGTTACCCTTCGCAGAAGCCAAGCACTACGTTCGCATTATGCTTTCCGTTTTGGCGAAAACAATTGATTCCTCGTCGATACTTTCGGGCGCGCCGCTGACTCCGTCACTTTCGGCATTTTCCCCCCTTCTAGCGGAAAACGCTGGAGCCCCACCCCGCCCCGCGTGTCAGTCAGCACATGACCATGCGGCGTCCCCCCTTGGGCTTGCCGAATGCTCCATGGCCATCATACTGAAGGCAAATCACCTCCCCACCTTACCTCCCTCCCCACCCCAATTCTCCAGGCGACATTCCCAAGGACATTCCAATCACCTCTGCCGAATTCCAGTTCCTTGATTCATTTCACTGATTCTCTCTAGTCACCGTTAGCTCGTGCTTGTTTCCATGGCTTTCTCAGCTCGCCATGGCTCCTGTCGAAATCACACAGAGATGTAGGTTACTACGATTAGATCAAAATTTTAAGACAATTTATGACAGCAGTAGCTTATCTCGATAAGCCTGTTTCAGTGGGAGAACTGGTACAGCCGTGTCAGCAAACAGCCTCTGTTAGGCTGATGATAACTGCTCGCCTCTTAGCTTATAACCGCGGTAGTTAGCCGCTAAGGCAATCCCACCGTTTTTGTTTCCGCGAATACTACCACGTTAAGTTTCAGCATCTAAATTCTGTTAAACTGATTTTTAGCCAGTAGTTTCAGCTCAGCAACATGGTCCGTGACGGGTGTTTCCTGATAAGGTTTCCACCGCTCTAGTTGAAGCGTAGTTGATAAGGCTTCCGTTCCGTTTAAGCGTCGTTCCGAAATGGTCGTACATCCTTCTCGCCGATGGCTGCTATGGTCGCCGAAAGCCGAACGTGTTGTCAAGGCATTATGACTCATAATCAGCATATCGGATACGTGAAGCAGCACCGTGTGAGGAATAACATACGAGACGCTTCTGTTAGCATCTTCAGGCAGCACTGGAAGCACGGAGTGTTATCACGGCAGTTTTCAACAGGGTCGACGGTTTTCACGTCAGATTAACGCCGTAATGGTCAGAATGGCTACTAAATCTCAAGTACCAAGGCGACCGGCATCCGGCGTCCGTAATGATCTACGAGCAACAAGAGAAGCACCTTCGGGACGACGGAAGCAGTCTCAAGGCAACCGGCATACGGCGCAGTGACAAACGACACAGAGACGGAAACTGATGGGTTAACTACTCCGACTCGGAGCACCTGACGAGCGGCGAAAGACAAGCGGACGAGCAATGATAGCGGCGATTGGCGACTAGCGAATGGCGAACGGCTAGCGACGAACAGTCAGCGGCTGGCAACGTGCGGCGATCGTGTAGCGGCAAGTGGCGAATTTTGAATTACGCGCAACCATGTGGAAGACGGCGACGAAGCGCGTGCGACGTTCCCCGTGCGACGGTGTGTGGACAATTACGACTTCACGCGGCTGACCGTGTGTGGAAGACGGCGGCCAACCGCGTACGGTGTGCGGAAGATGGCGACTTAACGCGTGCGACGTTCCGCAAGCGGCGCCGTGCGGATGCTGGGCGAGATGGCGCATACGACGATGTGCGACATACGGCATGCGACCGCGGGCGATATTCCCCGTGCGATGGTGTGCATCATGCGGATGATGGCGACTTACCGCGTGCGACGATCGGCGTGCGACGTTGTGAGACGAACGGCATGCAACGATGTGCGACGAACGGCATGCGACATACCGCGCGCGTCCGTGTGCGGAAGATGGCGACTCGTGCTACTTACCGCGCGCGTCCGTGTGCGGAAGATGGCGACTTATCGCGTGCGACGAATCGCGCTGTTCGGATGCATGCGACGATGTGCGACGAACGGCATGCGACGTACCGCGCGCGTCCGTGTGCGGAAGATGACGACTAATTACGTGCGAGGCCGTGCGGATGATGGCGACGTACCGCGTGCTACGTGTGCGGAAGTCGGCGACCAGCTGCGTGCGACCTTCCGCGTGCGACGACGTGCGGATGCTGGCGACACACTGCATGCGACTGTGCGCGGATGCTGGCGACGTCGCGTGTGCGATCGTGTTCGGAAGACCCGCGTGCGACGGTGTGCGGAAGATGACGACTTACCGCGTACGACGATCGGCGTGCGACGTTGTGCGGGTGCTGACGACATGCCGCATGCGACCATGTCCCACGAGCGCCATGCGACGTACCGTGTGCGTCCGCGCTCGTCCGTGTGCGGAAGGTGGCGACTAAGTGCGTGCGAGGGCGTGCGATGTACCTCGCGTGACAATGTGCGGATGCGGATGATCAGCTTCAACACTCTCCTGTAGCTAAGTCTCCTCGCGCTCCCCACTCGCCTTCCCTGTCCGTCGTTTTTAGTACTGCTGCCAGATTGTCACCTCGTATCCCTTGCTTGGCGCATGCTGGTGGTGGTCCATGGTGCTATGGCAGCAGAGCTCATGCAGAGTGTAGTGTAGTGGGAGTGGTGGGAGAGATTAGCGGAAGAGAGGGAGTGCATTCATGCCATGCGTGCGTCCCAGTCCTCGCTGGCTCAGCTCGCTGCTGTAGTGCCGTGGGCCACTGTCGCCATGCGCCTTCCCCCCCCACCCCTCCCCAACCACTGAATTCTCTGCTGTTGCAAACTCCAATTCATTCTCATTCTTGCTTTCCAGGATCTCTGCTCTCTTTCCCACCTTGACATGTTTTCTGCTACGTAACATTCCAAGTTCTCTCTGCCTGCCCTCTCGCTGTTCCATCTCCCTCCACCCATCTATTCCCTCAGGCCGAATCGAGCGTGGCAGAGCACCAGAGCAACAGCACGTGCAGCAGCAGTCAACATCAGCTGTCAACAGCCAGGCAACACCAGAGCGGGCCTGCGATCGTAGCCAACTGCGGGGAGCGGCGCTGCCAAGCCAACTGCGGGGAGCGGCGCTGACGTGGTGAATGGCGAAACGGAACGTGTGGAGAAATTGCGGCGAGTGTGGAAAACGACGATCGGCAAGCAACGAGCAGCTTCTGAACCCGGCTAAGTTCCCACCTCAACCCTTACACCACTCTGTTGTGTTGCTACGACACTCCGCCCTCCCCCCCACGCCCTCTTGTCGTTGCACCACTGTGTTGTGTTGTGTTGTGTTGCTGCATCCCGCGTTTCTCGTCCCGTTACCCTGTGCACACGTGTTCCTGTGAGGCGCATGGCGGCGGTGGGTCAGGGCGCATTATGGCAGCTGAGCTCATGTAGAGTCCAGTCCAGTCCAGAGAGTCCAGTGGGTGTGGCTTAGGATAGCATTTCATTCATGCCATGCGCGCGTCCCCAGTCCCCCCTCGCTGCCTCAGCTCGCTGCTTCGGTGCCCTTGGCCCACTGTCGTCATCACCTTCCCCACCCACCCCTCCTCTATCACTCACTTGTCGCTCCACTGTGCTTACCATTCGTTCGTTCGTTCGTTCATTCGTTCGTTCGTTCGTTCGTTCGTTCGTTCGTTCGTTCGTTCGTTCGTTCGTTCGTTCGTTCGTTCGTCCGTTCGTTCGTCCCGAGTGTTTTCTTCGACTTGCTTTCTTGCCGGACGTTGGTTTCAGCTGCTCTTGCTCTCTGCCACCTCTTCTTGCTCTCACTGCCACTCGGTCTTGTGCTCTCTGCCGCTGTGCCTGGTTGCTCCTTGTGCAGAGCCAGCAGAGGGCGGCAGTGGGATGACGCACGGCGGGCAACACTGCTGCTGCGCGCCCTGCTGACCACTGCTCGCCTCTCCGGGAGCAGAGCGGACTCAAGGAGGCACACAAACGCGGGGCAGGGAGTGCGCCTGCATGCTCCTTCGACCCTCTTCAATCCGGCTAAGCTATCTCACTGAATTCGCACTGTGTTGTGCACGCACCACTCACCCGCTCCCACTCGTGCCTTACGCTGCTTGCCTGCACTCTCGCCCTCCTCCTCCTCTCGCCGCTCTCTCGGGCGGCACCAAGGGACCCTCCCCAGGTGTGTGACAGCAGGTAAGTACGTCAGGTGTGGTAAGGTACGGTATTGTCCTTGGTGCCCGCCCTGCAGCTGCCACCACCCGCTTCCACCCAATGACACCGCCACTCACGCCACTCACGCACTCTCACTGCTTGCATCCTTTCTTTGATTGCATGCGTGTCGTTTTCCCGTGCTGCCACTTGAGTACACCATGCTAATCGCAGCATCCCTCTACCTACACCCCTCTGCCAGCACACCTACAGGCCGGCAGCAGCAGAAAGCATGGAGGAGCATTGGAAGCAGCGTGGGCGAGTGGGGGAGGCGAGTGGTGGGATGACGCACGGCCTGGGCTGGCCCTGCTGACCACTGCCTGTCGCCCAACCTCCCGGAAGAACCAGCGCAACCGACCGTGCCGTCTCTGAGTGGCGCTGCAGCAGCAGGGGGAGTGTGGCGGCAAGGAGAGGCGCACGGCCGTGTGGGTGCCGCACGCATGCAAGGGGAGCACGCCTGCATGCTCCTTCGACACTCTTCAATCCGGCTAAGATATCTTACCCTTGCCTCTTAACTCTCTCTTGATCTGTCTCGCTGTCTTTCTCGTTTCTCTTTGACATATCACCGACGCTCTTCACAGAGGCGACAGCCACGTCCACCTCCTTCTCCGTAGATGTGATGTGAGTGCATCTGTAGGTTTGCATTGGCTTGTCTCTGATTTTTTTTGCCGACGATGGATGTGCAACGCCCACCACGGCCTTCTCTGGATGTGAGTGCATCAGTATGTTTGCGTTCACTTGTCTGCGGGTGCAACGCCCACCACCGACTTCTCTGGATGTGAGTGCAACACCCGGCGAGGCTAGGGGCGAGGCGAGGCTGCACGGCAAGGTGAGACTGTGAGACGCAATCCGTGGGCGGATTGAGTGAAGCTCTCTCAGGAGGTTTCAGCACGGCGGATGGAACAAGAAGAAGAGCGAGAGAGGTGGGATGACGCACGGCCGGCAGGCAGTGGCATGTGGCTGCCTCCTACCCGCCCTGCTGACCATCCGCTTGCTGGCGGCATGCGAGGCGATGCGGATGGAGCAAGGATGGAGCGAGCGAAGCTCGTTGTTCCCTTGCGTGTTCTCCCACTTGCACCCTTGGGGTGAGGTGGAGGTGCGAGAAGGAGAGGCGGATAAGCTGAAGGAGGGGGTACTTGGAGGGAGAGGCTGTCGTGTGTGGAAGGGAGTACAAAGCTGGGAGAAAGGTGTGTCTGAGTGGTGATGCTTTGATTGGGGGTGGGACCTCCCTCTCATTGCTCTCCTCTCACTCTCCCTCTTGCCCAGCTGAGCCGCGGTAAGTGTGTGTTGGATGCGTTCTGAGAGTGGCGGCTGCAACCCCACTCTTTGGTTCTCATCCTCCCGCTTGTCCCACCGCTTGCTCAACTCACCCTAAGCATACTTCACCTCACACTTCCCAGTCAACTCCTCTTTTGGCCTTTGACGCACTCCTGATCAGCACTCGTTGCTGATACCCCTCTGAAAGGGAGTATCAGCAACGCCTGTCTTGAGAAGGGAGTATGGATGGGTCCGAGGGAGTGCAGTGCGGTGCCATCAGCTGCGCCTGCCTTGAGAAGGGAGTATGGATGGGTCCGAGAGAGTGCAGTGCGGTGCCATCAGCAGCGCCTGCCTTAAGAAGGGAGTATGGATGGGTCCGAGGGAGTGCAGTGCGGTGCCATCAGCAACGCCTGCCTTGAGAAGGGAGTATGGATGGGTCCGTGAGAGTGCAGTGCGGTGCCATCAGCAACGCCTGCCTTGAGAAGGGAGTATGGATGGGTCCGTGAGAGTGCAGTGCGGTGCCATCAGCAACGCCTGCCTTGAGAAGGGAGTATGGGTCCGAGGGAGTGCAGTGCGGTGCCATCAGCAACGCCTGCCTTGAGAAGGGAGTATGGGTCCGAGGGAGTGCAGTGCGGTGCCATCAGCAGCGCCTGCCTTGAGAAGGGAGTATGGGTCCGAGGGAGTGCAGTGCGGTGCCATCAGCAGCGCCTGCCTTGAGAAGGGAGTATGGGTCCGAGGGAGTGCAGTGTGGTGCCATCAGCAGCGCCTGCCTTGAGAAGGCAGTATGGGTCCGAGGGAGTGCAGTGCGGTGCCATCAGCAGCGCCTGCCTCGAGAAGGGAGTATGGATGGGGCCGTGGAGAACTTCTTCTTGTTTCTTGTATTTATGTTTCTTCCTTGTCGCGTGTCTCGCTTTCGTTTTGCATTCTGCTTTCTCTTGCACCCTCACCACCAACTTATCTTTCCTTTCACGGATCCCCCCTTGACGCATGTTTTGATTCTTCTCGCTCTGTTTTCGCATGTGTTTTGTTTCCTTGTCGCATGTTTCAATTTCTGCTTTGTTTATTGCATTCTCTTGTCACTCATGTTCACCAGCAACTTATCTGTCTTTCCTTAGATTCCCCTCCATTCCTGTATGGCAGTGCGCATCATGGCGAAGTGGAGAGCTGGTGGGGGCGGCTGCAGAGCGGGCGGCGCGGCAGCAGCAGCTACACGGGAGGGAGGCGGGTTGGAGTGCGGAGGAGGAGGGAGCAGCAGCTGTCACCAGCAGCGCCTGCTTTCACAAGGGAGTATGGGGCTCAGGGAGGGGACCAATTTCCGCTCTGTTATTGCATGCTTTTTGTTTCCTTGTCGCATGTTTCAAGTTCTTTTTCGTTTTTCGCATTCTCGTCATCAGCCACTTATCTTTCTTCCCTTAGCTCCCCTCTCTTGCATTCCTGTACTGCAGAGCGAGAGGCGCGGCAGCAGCAGCTTCACGGGATGGAGAACGGTGGCGGGCTGGTGCGGAGGAGGAGGGAGCAGCAGCTGTCACCAGCAGCGCCTGCTTTCACAAGGGAGTATGGGGCTCAGGGAGGGGTCCAAATTCCGCTCTGTTATTGCATGCTTTTCGTTTCTTTGTCGCAAGTTTCAATTTCTGTTTTGTTTTTCGCATTCTCGTCATCAGCCACTTATCTTTCTTCCCTTAGCTCCCCCCTCTTGCATTCCTGTACTGCAGAGCGAGAGGCGCGGCAGCAGCAGCTTCACGGGATGGAGAACGATGGCGGGCTGGTGCGGAGGAGGAGGGAGCAGCAGCTGTCACCAGCAGCGCCTGCTTTCACAAGGGAGTATGGGGCTCAGGGAGGGGTCCAATTTCCGCTCTTTTTTCGCATGCTTTCCATTTCCTTGTCGCATGTTTCAAGTTCTTTTTCGTTTTTTGCATTCTCTTCATCAGCCACTTATCTTTCTTTCCTTAGCTCCCTCCTCTTGCATTCCTGTACTGCAGAGCGCGGCAGCAGCAGCTACACGGGATGGAGAACGGTGGCGGGTTGGAGTGCGGAGGAGGAGGGAGCAGCAGCTGTCACCAGCAGCGCCTGCTTTAACAAGGGAGTATGGGGCTCAGGGAGGGGACCAATTTCCTCTCTGTGTTTGCATGCTTTTTGTTTCCTTGTCGCATGTGTCAGTTTGTTTCGCTTTTTGCATTCTCTTTTGTCACTCGCATCTTCACCAGCAACTTACCTCTTTCCTTAGATCTCCCTCTTGCATTCCTGTGTGGCAGGGCGCAGCATGGCAGAGAGCAGAGCTGGTGGGGGCGGCTGTAGAGCGGGAGGCGCGGCTGCAGCAGCTACACGGGAGGGAGGAGGGGCGAGGGGTGAGGGGTGAGGGGTGAGGGGTGAGGTCCTTGTGTGCTGTTCTTGAGGCGCCTCAAGACAGCTGTGAACTGCCGGTGGCGGTTCTGTTCTGTATACTGCAGTGCACTGCAGCTTGTTGTTCTGTTTCCGTTCCGTCAGTCCCGTCCGTTCGCCCCTGAGTTTTGAGAGACGTCTCAAAACTCGTGTGCTTCTCACTGCAGAGTCGCTGCAGTGAGCAAACTCTGGGTTTTGGGAGACGCCTCAAACCCATGTCTCTTGTTCCTCACAGCAGCCTAGCTGCAGTGAGCAAAATTACACAGCTGGTCAGGCAGCAAGGACGGGCAGCATCTGCTTTGAGGATGATTTTCATCTGCCCCCGGGCAGTCTGCATTGTGTTTTTTCTCTCTCCCCCCCCCAACAGGGTCCCGAGCGATGGTTCCCACCTCACCGCGGTGCTTGGGTGTAACGTCAGGAGCTCTGCTCCTGGCGGCCAAGAGGAACCCCCCATGGGTAGTACAATAGTATATAGCAGATTATCAATATATAGTTTTCAATTAGATTCGTAATTATATATTAGATGGTACCCGCGTTAGCTGGTTTACAGCAGACAATAGTGGTGGCGCTAAAAGATTTCGTAGACATGACCGTACTAGATGGTGGTAGTGGCAGTAATGTTTTTTATTATTATTATTACAGCCCTGCTGAAGTAGCATTACAGGAATTTATACAGTAGCATTATTGCACTGCAGCAGTAGCGCTGCAGCAATGCATGTTTTTCAGTCGTTACTGCATTGAAGTGGTGTACACTGGTAAGTTATAGGGTTTTTTTTTAAGATTACAGCCCTGCTGAAGTAGCGCTGCAGCAATGGAGAAAACCATGATGTTGAGAGTTGATCTATACTTTGTAGAACGCGTTGCGATACGTAGAATTACATAGTTGAGTCAAGTTCAGAGCACTAAGCTGCTAACAAGATGTATACTGGACTAGGGGAGACTCTGCATTTCCTTTTAAGTGCTGCTGTAACCAGCTCAGCACGCTTTCTCTTATTCACCTTCACAATTGCACAAGAGATGAGATTGAATCCTGAGTTCTCTCCCAGCATTTTGGGTGCATCCCGCTCCATGCGTACGTGTGCTGGATTCTCTTTCCTGGCCAGGCATGAATGACAAGGAGAGAGTTTGGATTGTACCCGCTCACACGAGGGCGAGAGCGGGGGGAGGTGGAATATAGCGGCTAGTAGGAACAGTCGATGGTATGTAGAAAGAGTGCACGATGGAATAGTACGGAAAAGTGATGTATAGAGAGAGAGATATATATCTTACCAGTGTACACTTTGCCTTCTGGGAGTGTGCTACACGTTGCTGTCCACTCCAACCTCCACTTGCTCCCTGTCTGCTTGCTCCTCCTCCTTCCATTTCTTCTCCTTCTTATCCTTCTTCTCCCTCTTTTCCTTCTTCCCCTTCTTCCCCTTCTTCTGATCTTCAGCTTTCTCAACCCCCCTCCCTTCCTCGCTGCTATCCCCCTCCACACCCACATCTCCCGCACTGCCCCTCTCCCCTACGTCTTCCTTTCTGATCCTCTCTTCACTCTCTTGCTCACTTCCCCCTTCTCTCTCCTCCGCCTACCCTGTAGCTTCTCCCATCTCCTCCCCACTAACATCCGTCCCCCCCTTCCCCTTTTCCTCACTACTAACCTCCACCACCCCCTCCCTCATCGCCTCCCCACTAACCTCCGTCCCCCCCTTCCCCATCTCCTCCCTACTAACCTCCACCTCCCCCTCCCCCACCACCTCCCCACTGGCCTCCGCCAACCCCACCCCCAACTTCTCTCCTCCTCCACTCACCTTCCCCCCCTCCTCCTCCCCAACCACGAATTCCCCAGCCTCGGGCTCAGGTTCGGGAATATCCACCACCACCACCCCACCCTCCTTAACCAACTCCTCATGAATAGCCAATAGACGCTCTGCAACCTTTGTTATACCGGGGCGCTTCTTAGCGGGGAACAGTTGACAGTCCAGCCCAACCTGTAACACTCTCTGAATGACGTCAGCAGGGTAGGCGCTCCCGAGCCGCGGATCCACTATACTTTCTATGCTGGCTTCCCCTCCCGACCTAAGGCGCCTCGAGACCCACGTGCCTATGTCCAGCTTCGCGGTAGCTTCGCCGGGTTCGTTCTCAATCACGGCTGGGCGGCCAGTGAAGATCTGCAGGAGGATAACGCCAAACGCGTACACGTCATTGGGCGGCGAAGATTCCTTCGAAATGTGGAGACTGGGGTCGATGTAACCAGGCAAGGCAAGAGTCGGCGCGTGTGGTAACCCGCCCAGCATGCTCGAGCCGCCAGTGATGTCTCGGGTCATCAAAACTTTCATCCGCCCGATGTTGCCCACCTTGGGAACGCCGTTCGTGTCAAAAGTTATGTTTTTCGGATGCAGCCCCTCAAGTAAATACGGCCTAGGAAACTCCGTGTGCAAATACGCGAGCGCCTCGGCAATATCAACGGCGATCAGCAGCCGGTGCATGAAATCGAACGGTATTCCTTCCTCCTCGCCCTCCGCGACGACCCCGAGGTCCTTGAGCGCGCGAGCGTTTCGCGAACCCCTTCGCCACATCATGATCTTCTCCTTCCACACGTCGGTATTCCCGAAAATCATCGACTCCAAACTCGGACCGCCCACGAACTCGTATATAAGCACCCTCTCGCCGCACTCGAAACAGTAACCCAGCAGTTGAATTACATTCTGATGGCATAGAACCGCCATAGACTTCGCGCTGAAGATAAAATCCGCTTCTAGCTCCGCATAAGCCGCCGGGTTTGCCGGGCGAAACGTCAGCATGGGGCCATCCCCGCCCCCATGCCGCCAAACGGATCTCTTAACCGCCCACTGCGCTCCGTTGGGCCCCGCGCCTCGGTAAACCTCGGACGTGCTTCCTTTTCCAATAAAGTTCTGCTTACTGAAGTTCCTTGTAGCGCGAGTTAACTGTAGCAGGTCGAACTGCTGGAAAGACATGCTCCGCTGCTGCGCGGCTCTCTTGCGTGCCATGTCTTTAAACCCCGGCGACCGCAGCACCTTGCGCCAAAACTTTGCGCCAGCGTGCGGAGATTTCAGCGCCAGTTGCGGAGCGCCGACGTCGGGCGGAATGGTAATCGCCGTCACGCCAGCGGCGGCGTATGGGGCGGTGGAGTTGTAGCCGCTGCCGTACTTGACTCCGAGGCTGTTCGATGGAGTCGCCTTCGCGCCGCCATCCGCGTCATCCGTCGCGACGACGCGTCGATGGCGCTTCCAGGGGCAGCAGCAGCCGCCGCAGCAGAACACGTTGTAGCAGCCTTTGCAGCAGCCTTTGGAAAACTTGAAGCAGCGGCAGCAAATGCAGAGCAGCGCAATGAGGATGATCGCAGCGACCACGCCTGCTACGACAAGTGCCCAAAGGGGCATCTCTTTCCCGGCAATCTCCATCTTTCCGCGCCTTCTTGTGACTCTGCGCGGGCCCCCGACGTGAATCTTTGGTAGAAATTCGGCCTTTTCTTAACCTTCGCTATCAATACGCTGACTAGTAGAACTAATGCCACTGACCGGCCAAGCTAGGGAGAGTCGAAGGGATTGAGTAAAATGCAGTCGAGTCGGTAACCGAGAGCACGAGGTTGAAGTGAGATACCGCGCGCTAAGGCTAAATTCAGGACTTCCAGGGAGACGAAGCGCGTTTGGAAACCACACCAAAAAAAAAAAAAAAAAAAAAAAAAAAAGTATGTCCGGGTGCGTGGGTCAGTGAGTAACGGATTGAGTTTTTAAATTATTCATGCGCTTAATCACTTTCCCGGAACTATGCGACTCCATGATAATGGATGTGCAAGACTTGGCTAAAAGGAAGCAAACGCGATGCTTTTCGTTTTGTCAAGAGAGCACGGAGGAGCAATTCAATACTGTTCGGCCACCCTTATCGAGCAAGCTAGTTCAGTCAAATTTGCCCCACTGTTGTTCAAAATGGTTGTGACGACGACTTGAGACAGGGAGGGTAGAATGCTTGCAAGGCAAGGAATGCTCGTTGTGAAGTCAAAAGAGTGTCGCACAATTATTGGGGATTGTCCGAGACGAATTGCCGAGTCGCAAATGTCTTCTTGGAGTGCGGCTCGATGAACGTCACTACGTCGCATTCTTTGTTGTGGAGCAGTTGACTTCGCGTCCGCGTAATTATTGGCGGCCTAGCAGCAAGAGCTCCGTTACAGATCGTTACAATGACGTTCGAACTAAACTAGATATCACTGTAGTTCACTTTTAAGCAATAAGAGGAAGTGGTGGCGTGGCGTTCATCACATAGTAATGTTTCCGCTGTGGAAAAATCGCCCTAAACTCTCCCTTCGGTTGTTCCGTTTCTCTGCAAGAGTCTTAACGCCACCATATTCCACATTCCAGAATGTTCTCTCATAGCTTACGTTGCTTGTCCTCGTTGCAAGAATGGACTCTGTTTATAACACTGGTACATCATTTATTCCAAGTCAAAATTGGTTAGCTCTTGCTCCAAAATCCCCCATCACATCTCAAGCATCAACAACGATAGGCACTTCCTCTCCTAATCCTGCACGAAGGAAAATCAAAAGCAGGAACCAACTACCCTTGTAGCTCCAATTCCCACCACCTTGTAGAGTCACATCACATAGTCACGTCACGACTCAACTCCGCCCAAATCGCACAGTGAGCACAGCATGGTCAGAAATGGTGTAGTCTTCCGGCCACACGCCCTCCTCCATGGCCCTTGGGAACAGCGTTGCCTGCAGCACGTCCAGATTCAATGCACCTTGCAGCTGCATGCTCCCTCCCTCCCTTCCACTGCTCCCTCGCATCGTTCCACTACCCAGCTGCTCCTTCTTCACCCTCCCCTCGGTCGTCCCTCCCACTCTTCCCTCTGTTTTCCCACCTTCCCCCAATGAGTGAATATGAAGAGCAACAGCCTTGCTAAAAGAACATCCTTTACAGTCACCTCGGAGAGCTGTACACCCAGATAGGCCCATTTTCCTCCGCAATCTCTTACACTCTGCCTCTATTTGCCGCTCCTCCTGCTGCTGCTGCTGCTGGCTCTGGTGATGCTGCTGCTGCTCCTGCTGCTGCTGAAATGACTGTATTCTTGCTGAGGCAGCAACAGCATGAGAAAAGGCAAGAGGGTCGGCCGAAGCTGTGATAGGGTCGGAAATGCCGGACCTGAAGAGCGAGAGATGGTTGAATAGGTGTAGATGAGGAAACTGCATGGAAGGTTCGAAAGAGTGGAATAAGTGGTGGGAGTGAGCGGGTGGCGGAGAGGAGGAGATGGGAGTAGAGGAAGAGGTCAGGGTAGAGGAGGACGACGAGCAAGTCATGACTGGGAGAGAGTGAGTGCGAGTGTGGGGGAGCGATTGAAGGAGGGGGGACAGCGAGAGGAGTGAGATGGGAGATGTACACAGGGGTGATGATGATGGGAATGGGGAGAGGTGGGAAGATGGGGAAAAGGGCCGTGATGGTTGCGAGGAGGGTAGGAACTGGAGGGAGGGAGAGGACGGGTGAGAGGGGATGGCTGTGGATACGCATTGAGTGTGCTGTGTTTGTTGATTGCTGGTGGTGGAAAGATTGCACATTGAACTCAGAGGACCAGGGCTGCTGATGTCAGCTGAGGTGGTGCTGATGTCAGCTGAGGTGGTGCTGATGTCGGGTGAGGTGGTGCTGATGTCAGTCGAGGCACTGCTGATGTCAGAGGTGGTACTGTGGACGTCAGCAGCACCCGCAGCGGTTGATTCAGCAGGTGGTGGAGGTGAGTCAGCAGAGCATGACGTGGCAAGAGAGTGCCTGAGAGCTGCCACGGTGTCATCCCACGTGGGTTGGTCAAATAGAGCCTGTTCAGGATTGGATTGGAAGAAAAACAGGGAAAGGGCGAGAGGAAGGAATAGGGAGAGGGTATGAGAAAGGGGGGATGGTGGATGATGGAGGGATGGAGTGCAAGCGGGGTGATTGACCCTGCACGGGCAGTTTGTCTGATGAAGAGGCAAGAGCGCATTGAAGTCAACGCAAGTCAATAAGAGTCAACTAGGGAAATGGCAAGGAGCGCAAGAAACGGTCTTTTAGCCTACCTTGAAGTCTTGAAAGTCAACGCAGCCCTTCCCCTGGCATTCAGCGGACCGCATCAGCTCCTCCACCTCGATGCTCGTCAGTCCGATGGAGTCAACGCCAGTCAACCCCAGTCGGTCCAGTCCCCTCTGGAAATCACCCATGTTGAAAGCAGCAGCCGCCTGATCCCCTGCAGCGCCCCCTTCAGGAAAAACTCGCCCGCCATGCGCCAGGGGGCCCATGGCTTTGTGCCCTTCACCCGCCCGCAGGAAGAAGTCAAAAGCTGCCTCGACATTGGTGATGCCGGCCGAAGCGAGCTTGGATCGAATAAGGCCAAAGACCGCCGTCCGCCAGTTGACTGCAAGCGTTCGGTGGTGCTGCTCTGGGTTGAGCACCCACACATAGTCCACCCCGCACAGGTTGCCGTGGTGGTTTCGGTGACTCACCCACTGGGAATGGTGTGGGGTTGAGAGGGGGAGAAAGAAACTGTTAGCACTCGGTGGTGCTGCTCTGGGTTGAGCACCCACACATCGTCCACCCCGCACAGGTTGCCGTGGTGGTTTCGGTGACTCACCCACTGGGGGGAAGGGTAGGAGGGGAACCAGAATGGGAGGAACGGAGGAGGGAGATGATGAAGGGATGGAACAAGGAGAGGTGAGCACAGAGCCAAGCTTGCTGCGAGTGCTATTCCAGTGGTCTACATGCTTGATCGATCGACGGGTGAGTACCTACCTGCGCAAATAGTACCTGTTTATCGACGTCGCTGTGGTGGCGTGCTGAGTGAAAGGAGGACACACAAGGTACAGAGACACGTGGTAATGAATGACGGCACACAGCTGGAGAGAGTACATGTGGTGCACGCTGTACCTGCTCGTCGTCGTCGCTGTGGTGGTGTGCGGAATCAAAGGATGAGACAAAGCCATGCGCCCTGAGCAGCTTGTACACGTTGCCCTGCTTCGTGCCGTTCAGGTCCCTGCATTGTTGTCACACAGCCATACAGTCACACAGGCATCATGCAGAGTGAGAGAAGCAAAGGCGGACGAAGCGGCAGAGGCTGAGGCTGAGAAAACAGCAGCGATGAAGGCTGAGATAGAGGCAATAACAAGGGCAAAAAACTCACCCGCAGAGAATGACCGGCAGTGCCCCGGCGTGGTGCTCCTCTCTGTACCCATCAATGCGCTCCAGGAGCTTGTATACCTGGCGCGGATACACATGAGCACACACGCACACACGCACAGACACACATACGCACACACAACCTTTGAGACGTCTCAAAAGCCCAGGAGCTTGTATACTGTTGCAGACACACATGCACACACACACACGCACACACACGCACAGATGATGTACACTTGATGCACACAGACACACACACACGGAGTGTTGAGTTGACTTTCGAGTCAAACTTAAAATCCTCGGACTAAGTCCGATACAGCTTGCATCACCTGGCACACACCTGGCACACACCTGGCACACACCTGGCACACACCTGGCAGAGGCGCACAATGCTGGAGTTGGCGTTGTGCGGGAAGAGCAAGTGCGTGTTCGCCACTACCACCTCCTCCCCTCCCTCCCCCTCCTCTCCTCTGCCCTCCCCCGTCCCCCATCTCCCCTCCTCCACCTCTCCTCCCTTCATGCTTCTATTCCCTTCTCCCCGTCCTCCTCGCCTTGCTCGGAGTCGGACAATCTGTGCCACCCGGTCGCCACAGTCGTTGAAGCACAGCGGGTGGTGGTCTACCACCTCCCACTCAGACGCTCTCACTGCCATCATGAGGCCTGGGGATGGGGAAGTGTAGGGGAAACGAAGGGGAGTCATTGGAAAGATAACAGCAGGTGGTGGTCTACCACCGCCCACTCCGATGCTCTCACTGCCGTCCATCACGAGGCCTGGCGATGGTAATGGGGAACACAGTAGAGGGAAGGTTGATCGGAGCAAAGGAAAGATAGCTCGCAGACATTTGAGGAAGCACAGGGAGTGGTGGTCTACGCATGCATGTATACACAGTTGCATGGTGATCGCTCACCATCTCCCCTGGCGTTTGTGCGAGGCAGCTTGAGAAGCTGGTAACCAGCACCCTGTAACGCTGTGTCGTACATGTCTACCCACTCCGGATTGGCCAGCCAACACTCCTGCATAACAGATTGGCACAAGAAATAAAAGTGAGGAAGGAAATCACAAACGGATGGCAATCTCGAGAAACTAACCTAGCCAATAACAATCTACAGCAAAAGATGTAACCTAAATCTAGGATCTGATTTCCGAGTTCCCTGAAAAAACACTTACGTTCCGTGTACCTACTTATCGTAGTTACGGGCTCATCCAATAACAAAGAAATACAAAACCTAAAATCGGGGTACCTGCAAGCACAGGATGGACGACTTGGTGTCAAGCAGCGTTTTGATGATCTCCTGATTGCGCTCCCGCCATACATGCTGACACGCGCTCTCCCTCTCGCTCTGCCACAACGGACACACGGTGAGAGAGATAGAGAGACCGGGATAAGCAACGCTTCGTTAGGTGGAATCATAGGAACAATACACAACCTTGCATGGCAAAGCAACACAGCGCATGGCTAGCAACACAGGGCATGGCACACAGTAGCGCACCGCCCCATAAGAACCAAAAACATCCGGTCTCGGACTCCTCCCTCCGTCTGCGCCTTACCTCGACACCCATTCTCTTGTAGATCGGCGCAAGCACGTTGAACGTGGTACACGATAGAACCGTCTCCTCCTCCACCGTTCTCCACCGTTGCTCGTTCATCGCCTCCGCGCGCGCCTCGTCCACCACCGCCATCGCCGCTGCGCTCTGGTCACCGCGTGCCGCGTAGCTCAGGCGCCTCTCGCCGCCTGTTACGCCGCAAAAACTGCTCACTGACGCGTCGCGATGCCGTATTAAAGGCCAACTTCGCTCGTGGGAAGAAAAAAATGGAAACTCCCGGTCATGAGCTATTTGTGAGCCGTACGGCACGGCGAAAGCCTCGTTGAATGCTTGCCGAACCAAAAACACGCTATCGCGACTCAGTGTTCCTGGTTGTCTTTGCCGGGCGGCGAACGTTTGAGATTTGTCCCTTGCGACGTTCGTGAAAGCGTGGAAGTAACCGAGATGGCCAATTTGACCTCGAAGCGAGGTAACGTTCAGCCTTAATCTCTCCATAGGAGAGTCGTGAAATTGATCGTGCGAAGTTCGACAACGTTCGCATGACGACGACGACGACGACGCGTCTGTATCTTCGCAGCAGCTCGCGGAATCGCAGCAATTGACCGTTTGACGAACAGAGGTCGAAGCGGGAAACCACTCGTCCGAAGGTTGTGCGACGAAGCGTGAAACGCAAGGCGACGCAAATCTCGAGAACGCAGTGGCGGCAAGACCGTTGCCGCTGAGGAGGATAGCATCTGCTGCCATGATGGCGTGGCGAACCCAGAGTTGATTCGGCGCGCACAAGCAGGCAGCATTTGGTGGGAATCCCGCAAAACTTACAGCATGCATGACGGCTGTTGATTAGGCTAGCTGGGAAAAGGTGAAAGGGTTTGAGGGGCGAACTGACTTGTGCTTGGATGGCAGTCTGCCTGTCCGTCGCTTGTCTCGTGGTCTGTGGGGAGAGTGTAGGCGCATTTGAGTTGTAAGGTCGGCAAACTAGGAAGATGTGAGCTGAGGCGCGTGGGATGCTTTGATTATAGAGGGAAGCGAAGGGGTGGGAAGACAAACCAAAGTAGTGGCGAAGTGCTACGAGAAAACTTGCTCGCCGCATGTGTTCGCTTGGCGGCTGGAAGCAGCAAGAAAGGCTTCATATGTTGACGATTTGTTCGCTTATTGGCACCGGTAAAGTTACCCAAGGGTTGCGCTGCGGGTGATCATCCTTCAAGCAGCTGATTGGCTATTGAAGCAGCCCTGATTATCTCCAGACCAGAGTCACCTTTGTGCCTGTTCAGATGTGGCACACCAAAAAATTATGCTCCAAAAGTGTTCGATCCACGTAGACATATCCAGTAAATTCCTTTTCGTCCGTCATCATCCCCGTCAAGCTTGCGCGGCATTGCCGCACTCCCTCGCGTGAAGAGTGGCCGGGACGTCAGCCACGGAACACCACACGCCAGTTTAGCCATTTGTTCGTCAGCAGTCGCCGTCAGGCAGTTGCAACATCCTGAATCAATCACGTCCACCCCAGACACACACGACTACTGTACAGTCGATGCTCAGCCTATCACAAAACATTTGCTCCCCACAATTAGAAATTTAGTCACTCGCGAACGTTTTGCCCGTGAGTGACTAAATTGACCATTGTGCCGATTTCAGGGTACAGTCACCAAGTTGAGGAAGAAAAACATCTACAGTTCATAAACAACAACGTTTGCCCATCATCAGAGAAGTTAACCTGGTTACGAAATTAAAGCCCTTGACTCAATTCACGTTGCAATTTCATATTACAGTCACATTTTTGCCCGTGGCGACAAGGACGAACGTGGCGAAATGTCTCAAACTCGTTTCACGCACATGCCGCCCGCCTACCTGGTGTTCTTGAAATGGGCACCGACTGTACTTCCAGGGTGGTCCCTCCGTCCCGTCCCGTCCCGTCCCGTGTCCACATTCAGCCTTTTTTAATAACATTCCTTTCCATCACAAACATGAATACAATACTAAACTCTCAAATAGCTGTACGTACGTTTACTTTCTCAATAGATGATTCACTGCTAGGTAGCACTTCTGCTGGTAACTTTGTTCGTTCATCGTCGTCAGATACCCCGTGCCCTCCTCCCTAATCTCGTGGCGCACAAAACGTCGTCCTATTTCCAGCGAAATGACGCGCATCGTCGAAAATCTTGTTTGTCTCATATACATTGACAGACCTACTTCCTCTGTTCCTTCGCAACCATCGTAACTGTTGTGTTTTCTCGCCGTTCTATTCGTGAATCGTCGCAGCCTTGCCCTCACAACCAAACAACCATGCCACGCCACTTCGCCACTCGTCGCAAACATATACTTTGCTTGCCTCTGCCTCGTCAATGATGGAAATGCAATTTGTGTTCAATCTACCATCATTGCAAGCCTCCAGCGAGTCTCTCGTTTGCTACAGAACAGTCGCCTGCACAGTTTTCCAACTGTATTGCCTGTTCCATTTCAGCCCTCTGCCGCCATAGCAATCGAAATAGCCCTCATTGGCAATCAAGCAGTCACACTACACAGATTGTCGCTGAGATCTGCGCGATGAAGTGCTACAACTTATCGCAGAGGGTGTCTGACAGATCGTAGGTCCAAGCAATTCCATCAGCCCGATGCGATTTTCCAGCCACCGCGAACGCGAACATCAACCACCAGGGCACGGAGTACATAGTAACACCTCCAGAGATCCCTTCTGCCAGGAACCCATGTTTTTCAGTCCCCTATGAGTACATTGAATGTTCCATTCTCTCTGGAGTTTCACAACGGTAATCAGCGACCGCCAACCTCTTCACTTGCTCCTAATCCGCCATGGCTGCCGCGAATGAGCAGCACAGCGTGCCTTGGCTTCGCGTGAGAACTCGCTCGCGTCATGTGATGTACTAGTCGCGAGGGGGTTGGACGACACAAGACCCTGAAAGGAGTGCACGTTGAAGCCGCTTAGCGTAAGCGCCATGTAGAGATTGGTGCGCGGAGCGCCCCGTATAGCGAGGTTGTTTGCTCCCGTGCTGAGCAAGGAGCGGACGAGACAGATGTCGTCACTCGTAATGTCGAAGAGCCCTCAACGAGTTTCGCCACGCAGTCGTCGGGTAACACCGTGTCGCCACAGATGGCAGCTCCCCGCCTCGCCTAGCTTCCTCCTCCTCGGTCTCCTCCTCGCCACCGCAACTGCCGCCGTAACTTCCCCCGCAAGTGCCGCATCGCCGGGTGAGATGGAAGGAAATCTCCACAAAGTCACGGGCCCGTCGGATCCTGCGCAGCCGGCGCCATCGGTGCCGTCGAAACCGGGCCAAAGCGGGCAGATTTCAATGCTCACCGCCATTACCAGCTGCCCTGACGAAATGTTTTCCTGCCCCGCGCCCGTCACCGTTGTTTTGCCGAGCCCTGCCGCGAGCTGCCTCCGGATCCCACGGCCTAGCGCGAGTCGGTCGTTCAAGATCGATTGGCTGGGGGATGCGTCTGCTCTCGCTGCTGCTCTCGCGGCAGCAAGCAATGCGACGGATAAGATCGCTTCTGGCGGTACGGGCATTCCTGCTACAAGCACATCATCCGCTACAAGAACTCCTGCTACCGCTATCAACGCTACAGGCAATATGGAAGCGATTCAGGGTGGAGAATTGAGCGGCGAGCGCATTTACGCCTGCCGGACGTTAGTATTCTGGTCGTCTGTCAACTGCTCGTCGTTAGAGCCATCTTTCGCCGTCATGATGCCCAACTTTGAGAACCTAATCTATACCGCCCGATCCTCCCCACATTGTTCATCCAACGGCTCATCTTCAAGTACTTCCGCAAATCCCGGATCAGGGGAATCGGCAGGGGGATCAGGGGGAATCGGCAGGGGGACGACGGGGGGATTTGCAGTGGGTTCGACCGGAGAACCCGCCACGAGTTCTACCAGCAAAGTGGCTCTCGACTCCCCTGGAAGCATAAGCGCTGCCGCGGACTCAGCGCCGCAACATGCGGCGGGCGCTGCGGGATCCAGGTTACGGGGGGAACGGGTAATGCACCCGATTACGCTGCCGGGAGAGGCGGCAGGCGCGCCGTTCGCTGCGCCGCAGAAGATGGAAATCAGATCGATTAGTTGCGAGGGAGCAGAGCCGTTCGATGCTGCTACACTCGCGCTGCTCTTATCCGCGCCTTGCGCTCCCGCTAGCACCGGATATGCCTCTTCTCCTTCAGGGAGTCCCGCGTCTGCGATTCCCGGAGCAAATTCCGGTAACACAACGGATATTTCTGCCACGTCATCGTCGACGTATTCGTCTTCTTACCCCGTCCCTGCGAACGCAACTGCCACGTCGGATTCCGGATCATCGTACAGCGTCACTTTACTCGCGTTAGCAGTCGCCGCGGCGTCTGTGTGCGTGCTGGCGTTCGTCGTGCAGAGATTTCTGCTCTAACGGATGAACGAGCTCTACGGAATGCTTTCTGCGTAGACACGATATTGGTGGTTCACTAAGGAGACAGAAATTTGTCTAAGTCCTTGAAGGCATAGATTTGGCACACACAGAAAATTCACTAGAATAGAATGAAAATAGAATACAAGGGGTAAAGAACTACCCAACCACTGAACCTACCAAGAGAACGTTCTCACCTAGAACGTTTAGATAACTACTACTTAGCTGCGCTTTGCCAAGTCAGCATCGGCAGGTGAAAATTACAACACATGCTTAGTTGGTAACTTTTACCTACCTAAAAGTAGTTATTTTAACTGTTCAGGTTGTTTTAAACAACTTCTGTAACGCACGTTTTCGTAGTTTACGAAAACGTGCGCCAGGTTCAGTTTGCTCAGGTGGTTCAA